ATCCTTGTCTTAGTCTCTGTGAAAGGATTCTGTGGAACTGCAACAACCTTTCATGTGGACTGTTGGACTCTATGAACAGACAGGTGGAATAGACACTTTCACATATATGGACCTTATGCATAAACTGATTAGAGAATGAACTGATCCACTGGGTCTTCTACTTTTTTCGCTGAACTTTATGAGCTACTTTTGTTGAAATCTACTATTCAATACAATGAATAGTATATATTATTTTTTCAAATGTACAGCCAGTTACGTCTTGTGTGCTTATTGAATATGTTTCATGTAACCAGAGGTTTGTTGTTGTTTTGCAGCTGTTTGTTGCAGCAGCCCTGGCTACGAATTCCGCGAGTGAGTGGTGCCTCTGGGGCTGGCCACATGGGGTGCTGGTTGCCAGGAGCTGAGGCTGTCTTGGAGTAAATGAGTAAGTGGACAATGGAGTCCAGCCAGCCAGTCCACCAGCACTTGCTGTTGGGAATGGACAGACAAGTGGGAGGCCAGGCAGACAGGCAGGCACTGCACTGGTCTTTCTTGTGCTTGCTGTGTGCATGGCCTGCTCGGTGCTGAAGGAGAGCCTTTCTGCCATGCAAACCCGGCAGTGCCTGCTTCTGCCACTGCTGCCTTCCAAAGTGCTGTCCTCACTTTCACCTTTGGCCAGTCTCCATCGGGCCACTAAGGCAGGGGGCACACTCTTCCCAGACCCCTGTGAGGCACGGTGAGGAGGCACCTCTGATTGGGGCAGGGGGTGGCAGTGGCTGCGCAGAGGGCTCCCAAGGAGAGGGCGTTCAAAAGAGTGAGAGGCTGCCATCTCTGCAAGCAAGGGGGGGACATAACTGGGCTCCTGAGGCCCACAGAGGAGCCACAGAGAGAATTGAGTTGGTCAAGGGAGTCGTGGACTCAAAAAGGTTGAAAAACTCTACTGTAAAGAATAGAAACTGCATTTCTAAAAAGGTGAGAGATGGAGAGAGAGGAGCAAGTGGTGCTATTTGGAAGAGATATTGCTGAATGGTCAGTATCCTGCTCTGACAGGGGCCAGCCAGATGGGAAACCCACAAGCAGGACCTTAGCACAAGAGCAGCCTCCTCTCCTGTGGCTTCCAGCCACTGGTATTCAGAAGCACTGCTGCCTTCCAGTTGTGAAGGCAGAGCACAGCCATCTTGGCTGGTAGCCTTCATATGCCCCCTCCTGCATGATTTCTCAAATCCTTTTTTAATCCTCTCTGAAAGCCATCCAGTTTGGTGGCCATCTCTGCCCTCCTGCAGGAGTGAGTTCCAAAGTTTGTGCTGCGTGAGGAACTACCCTATTTTTCACTCCATAAGACACACTTGACCATAAGACGCACCTAGTTCTTAGAGGAGGAAAACAAGAAAATAAATATTCTGAACGAAACAGTGGATGTATGATTTTTGTGGTTCATGCTGTGGCCACAGACATGATATGTGATTTGACAGTGAATTTGTGGTGACCCAATGCAAAAATCCTGAGGATCCATGTGGATCCGTGCTTTGTAACCACATTTTTGCACCATTGCGGCCCCACGAAACAGTGATCTTTTTGGTACAGGCTGTAGCCATGGACATGCTATGTGATCTGATGGTGAATTTGGCTCCAGGGACCACGCATTCGCTCCATAAGACGCACAGATATTTCCTCTTACTTTTTAGGAGGAAAAAAGTGCATCTTATGGACCAAAAAATATGTTACTTCTTTTTTCTGTCCTGGATCTTCCAATTTTCAGTTTCATTTGCTGTCCACGAGTTCTAGTATTATGAGAGAGAGAAACATTTCTTTGTCCCCTCTCTCTATGCGATGCATGATTTTATCAACTTCTATAGTGTCTCCTCTTCTCCAAACTAAGTCCATACTCTGGAACCTTTCACCATAGGGAAGTCGCTCCACCCCCTCAATCATTTTGGCTGCCCTTTTCTGGAACCTTTTCCAACTCAATGATATCCTTTTTGCGGTGAGGCAGCCAGAGCGACACTCAAAAAGAGAGAGTGCAGGGAGGGGGAGCAGGGGGATAACAACCACCACCACCACCACCACCGTTTTTAAGCAAAGCTGCTTGGCTGCACTTTTTATCTCAGGTGCCATTTCCTCTACTGCCAAGTGAAGTTCATAGCCAGATATGCAAGAGGCCTCAGTGCGAGATCGTGTGTGCACAAGAGAGGATACGCATTCAGTGTAACTAGGTAGCACAGCCCCAGCACGAAACTCTCTGCCACAAACAGTTAGCTTCAGGCCCAGCATGATGAGTTTTGGCAAAGGTTACGGCCTACACCCCAAGCACAAGTGGAGTTCTTCCACGCTGAAGGTAAAAAAATAATAATTTTTTAAACACTCCCATGTCGAATTCGCCTGGGTCTCCTCTCTCTCTGCCAAGGAAATGTCCTGGTAAATTCGTGCAAGATGGCTTTATGTTCTTAACACAGTCTTGATGTTTGATTGCTCAAAGGTTTTCTAAGAAACCATTAGGGTTCTGCGGGCAGCAGGGAAGGGGGGGGCACCAATGATTGACAAAAGCATTAAGGGTAATGCTGAACAGACGCTGCTCTGAGCAGACAGCAGACCCCTAGAGGCAGCTTCTAGGACAGCCTCTCAAGCTTTAAAAGAGGGAAATCAGCCAGCAGAGAGGCAATGAGCCTTTCCCAGCCATGAGGCTTTGTTGGGCAAGAGAAGAGGGTTTGCAGGCAGTCTCGATTCTTGCCAAGAGGCTGAGGAATTGCCCCCTGCCAGTGGTGTAGTGTGGGTTGCCAGCACCCGGGGCCACGTGGGGGACGGGGAGACAGACAAGAGTATGCATGTGCATTCAACTGCCTAATGGCGTCCACATCACTCAGGTGATTGCAGCCACAAAGAAGAGTTGTTCAGTTATCTGGAGACTTCCCGGTTCTCATGGAGAAGCCGTTTTTCAATGGAACCCAGTGACAGAAGTGCACAGCTGTATTGAGGCAGCACCAAAGGTTGAAATTATGCACTCCCTAACAATTTTGCACCAGGGGGCAACTGCCCTGTGGGGCCCCCACAAACACACTACATCACTGCCTCCCCCCATGTGAAGATAAGCAAACTCCTGTTCAGAGAGAGAGAGACGCACACATGCAGAGTGTGCATTTCAGGAGAAGCTATGTGCTTGTGTTTGAGAGATAGAATGATTCCCAGTGAGATCCACACAAGGGGATCTGTTGGACTCAGAATCCCAGTCTAGACAGGCTTGTGGTTTGTTCCAGCAAAGCAAATCACCCCTCCTTCTAACAGCAAGCTCAGGCAGTGAGTGATGACAGCTCTGAGGCCAAAATGAGGGCAGTGAAAAACAAGAGGGCAGTATCAGCATCCGTGGGGAAAACTACAGCAGTGCTTAAAATAATAATAAAAAAACAACTGGGAAGTGGCAAACAATTCGAAGAGGATTAAGCATGCTCAGAAGCCACAGCCTATTGAGAAAACTGAGGTGGAGGCCAGGAACAGAGGTTTGCATGGTTTGCTGGCTGGAACCCTGGTTAGAAGGGGAGGATACAACAAGGAAGGGTGTTTATTAGCTTCTGGTGGCAAAGAGCTAACCATTCATTGAAACCTCTTTCTGAGCCAGAGTTATCCATCCCCAATCTGTGGAACTGATTCAGAAATCCAGTTCTTCTCCTTCACACAGAAGGTGGCAAGAGTGTGAAGTTTCTAGCCCCTGTGCTTGTGTGACATACAAGGAACTCTCAGAGCCCGAGAGGACAGCAAGCAGCACCTCCAGAAGGTCAGGAAGGGGCAAGAGGACCTTCTCAAACTGGGATTCAACCAGGAATATTAACAAGGTGCACTTACTACTATATGCATAGTTTTAGGCTGCGTAAATGAAGGATCAGAGGGTTCCCCAAAACATGGGGCAGCAACTGCATTGGGATTGCCCCATAGGGAGTTGTTGACTGTGACCCTTTGCTACTGCCCCAACAGTACCAGATTCAGGGTGGTGCAGGTGGTCCCCCACATAGGAAGCTGAGCCAAGGGGACACAAATAGTAGCAGTAGCAGCAGCAGCAGCAGCAGCAGTTTTAATAATAATAACAATAATAATAATAATGCCTAAATTTATATGGGCACCTACTGAGAAGCTCCATTAAAAGCAACTGTACCAAACTGAATTATTGAAATTGAAGTACTTTATTGTCACGTGTACAACTTGTATACAGTGAGATTACACGAGCACCCCCCACTCAGCTCTCTTAGTCTTAATTCCCCTCGTTTACTGACGCACACCCACCAAAGCCGAAAGTCAGTTGCCCTGTTGTTATCTTTTCATTCAGCAGCCTAACAGCCCACGAATAGCACTGTTGGTGCAACTAATCATGCTTCTATATCTTCTGCCTGAGATCAAGAAAGTGCCGGCCAGGGTGTGAATCATCCCTGAGAATTTTCCTCCCTCTCCCGAGGCAACCTTCTTCCACTATTTCATTCAGCGGATTCACGGGACAGCCCATAATATCTTGTGCTGTATTCACCACCCTCTGTAGGCACTTCCTATCCATTGATGTCAAACCAGCGTACCACACCGTGATGCAGTATGAAAGGACACTTTCTATTGTTGACTGGTAGAAGGAGATCATCAAATGTTGATTGGCATCGTTCTTCCACAATACTCTGAGGAGATGGAGTCTCTGTTGGGCTTTCTTAACCACCTGGGTTGTATTGATTTTCCAGGTAAGGTCTTCACTGAGATAAACTCCTAGGAATTTAAAGGAAGAGACTCTCTCCACACAGCCCTCCCCGATGTACAGCGGGGCTAATTCTCCTCTCTTCCTCCGAAAGAAAATTATCGTGGGAATAAGAAATATTTGTGGGAAGGGGTCATCAGTTTTTGTCCAAAGTCTTCCCCTGTGCCACAGGCCCACATACCTTGAGCAGATGAAGTGGCACAGAAAGTGGGCATGGGTGATATCAGAGTTGGGCAGTGGCACAGAGTGAGAGGGAGCCCAGCAGCCACACAGGTGAATAATTCCAGGTGCATAGCAGCAGTTATGCCCATGACTGAAGTTTCTGGAAGGCTGATGTGATGCCATCAAGCTTGAAGGGAAAACGTAACACCTTCAGTCCTTGCTGCTTCTTCTTTTGTCCCACCTAAGGGAACATAAAAAGCTGAGCTCTGTATAGACCAGTGTTGCCTACACTGAGTGACATTATCTTAGAATCAGTCAGAAGGCACCATGAGGCGCATCCAGCCCAACTCTCTGCAATGTAGGAATATGCAGCTGTCCCATACAGGGACTGAACCTGCAACCTTGGCATCAACAGCACCATGCGCTAACCAACGGAGCCATCCAATTAGTACAGCCACAGCTCTCCAGGGTTTCAGGCAGATGCCACTGGGGATTCAACCTGGGGCTGCCTGGATGCAAAGTCAGTGTTTGACCACTGAGCTAGGAGTTGACACTTCTTGATGCAGAGGCGAATGTTTTTAGAAAAGCAAGCTTGGGGAGGGGGTACACTCCCAAAGCATTTCAGTGAGGACAGAGGGTGCTGTGGACACAGAATGCTGTAGTGGGGTATGGCGAAGGTGTGGGGAGTGAATGGAGTAGCATGGCACGTGTGGCTGGCTGGCACCCTGGCTGGCACCCTGGCACTTCAGGCTGCAACATTCTATCACAGGTCACACCTGTATAGGCAGCAACCAATTAAGGCGCGCCAGACTGATGCACGATCACAAACGCATGGTTCCTTTTGGACCCAGAAGAGGGCAGAACATGATGGGACATGCTTATGCACACTCTGCCAATGCGTGTAGGGACCAGGAACAGAACCTGCATGCAAAATGGTCACCACCTGTATATATTTATATATAAACACACATATATTTACACACCTCACCGTAGCTCAGTGTTGGGCCATTTGCTTTGCATGCAGAACCTGGCTCCAGGTTCAATCCCTGGCAACTCCAGACAGGGCAGGGAGAGATTTCCTGCCCGAAATCCTGGAGATGCTGCTAGGCAGTGTAGACAATATTAAAACAGATGGACCAGTGGTCTCACTTGGTATAAGGCAGCTTCCAAGTGTCCATTAAAATACCCAAGGCAGTTTACAGTGGTTAACTGAAATAAAACAGGATATGGATGAGAAGCAGCAGGGCTTTTTTTCAGCCAGAACTCACTGGAACTCAGTTCCAGCATCTCTCAAGTGGGCACCATTGCTATGTTCAGAGAACAATACAGTGGTACCTCTGCTTATGTTCACCTCCGGTTACGTATCCTTCGGGATACGTACGTGGCAAACACAGAAGTATTTTTCCGGGTTTTGCCCCGCGCGCATGCACCGAAGTGCTCCACATGCCATGCACATGCGCAGAAGTCCTAAACCGCGGCGCATGCATGCGCAGAAGCAGCACCTCCAGTTGCAAATTTCTCAGGATCCAACCGGAGCTCCAGAATGGATCCCATTCACAACTGGAGGTACCACTGCAATTCCTTTTGGAGCAGTTTTTTTAGTGGATCTTCTCAGTAGGCATCCATATAAATGTTGTTGTTGTTGTTGTTTTGCACCCCTTCAGCTCAGCACCCTGTGCAGGGAAACCAATCACACCACCCTAAATTCAGCACTGCAGGGTGGCGAAGGCAGAAGAATCAGCACCTGATGTTACGGAAGATGAAAAGGTCACCCACAAAATGTGCAGCACCTTCTTTGACGAGGACCGTACCTTAACCCAGCTCCATTCAATTCAGCTGGATGCAGTTTAGCCATCAGGTACACTTGGTACACACACATGGGAAGGCAATCTTCCAAGGAAATGGGTTTCAACCTACCTGGAGAAGCATTCTTGTGCTGAAGACTCAACGCTGCTGAGCCATTACAAGGAGACATTGAAAGCAGCAAGTGTCCTAGCACAAGAGGGGGGGAGAAACAGGGCAAGAGGGACCAGAAATACCTAATGAAAGCTTTTGCCCTCCAGGTGCCCACCAGATGGTTCAGACTATGTTGGCCAAGGCTGATTTGAGCTGTAGTCCAATACATCTGGAGGGAACTCAGGATGCCAAGGGTTTGACAAGTGAGCTCAGTTTGAAAACCAGGAAAGGAAAATTCAGTAAAAAGTAATTTTAAAAGAAGACTTTAAAAAAAAAAGAGCCAACCCCAGAGTCCAAAGAAGTATAAACTGTACATGACCATTTGCTTTTGGGATTTAACAGCTCAAACACTTATAAATCTTTCCCAAAGACAGGACTCTTATTGAAAAAGCAGTCCCGTTGGCAGCAGAACCAGAAGGATCTAAACAAACAAAATTATACGGACACCCACCTGGCAGATTCTTTTAAGGGTATCCGGCTGTTTCAAAAACATTTGCATGTTGTATAGTCTGATTTGTAAACATGTCTGTAATTACCTGTTTTTTATTTATGTTTTCTTGATGTGGCGCTGATCTGTGTATACTTTGTTGACCTATGATCAAGGCAATTAAATATATTCTAACAATATTTCTGTAATTGATATGCCTAACATAAAGAAGTGATGCTATGTCAAACACTGGAAACCAGCCTTCCCCAACTGGGTGCCCTCCAGATGTGGAGGCTGGAGCTGGCTGGCTGCTCAAAACATCTTCCTTAAGTATAACCAATTGCATCCTGAGCCAATGGGGGATTTTCTTGGAATTGTTTAAGGGATTTTATTCCAGACTTAGAACTTTCTTGCACTTTTACTTTTCAGAAACAAAACCTACACATACAAGAAAATGCATTAGGCAAACCACACCATTTGAAGTTTATTATCCTTAATGACTACCAAATACAGAGGGCGTTCAAAATACACCAGGAAAGAGTTATTTACAGTCATTAAGAATTCAGGTGTTGTTTTGAAGGAGGCAAGCTAGCCAGTTTAAAAATCAAAGAAGGACAACTTGCTTCCATATTTGGATGTCTGCAACTCGCCTTCAGTTGGTGGGTTTGGTTGTGGTCTTTGCCTAGAGTGATAGGGATTCTCAGGCAGTGGCCGGTCAGTCTTCACTTTGGTGACCTGGAAGAAAAAGAATCACATTGAAATGTGTGGTGAGCAGCAAACAGCCTGGAAAGTGTGACAAACAGGAAGCTTTGCAAAAGGAAGCCAGTCCATCCAAATGGTGCTTAGTGCAAACAAACCTATATCAAGGAATCTGAGCATAGAGAGGTGCCTTATTATGTACCAGAAATGGCAAAGCTGGTGCCCAGATGCTGGACTGTTATTTATTTAACTCTATAGTCACTTAGTACAAAAGTCTCTAAGTGACTTTTAAAAGCTTAAGAGCCTATAACGCCCCCAATAAGTAATGTTTCAGTAAAATCACTGCAGTAACCCAGCAGAAAAAAAAGTCAACAAACTAGAAAAACAAGCTATCAGCCTTGTTGTCAAATGTCTGGGAGAAGAGGTAAGTCTTACCCTGGCACAGATGGGAGCCAAAACAGAAAAGACCCTCTGCCATGCTGTCATCCTCCAAAGTTTCTCTGAAGGGGCACCCAAAGGAGGGCCTCAAATAAAAACCAAAAGGTCTGGGAGAGAGGTGACCTGAAAAATATTGGGGTCCCGAGCCGTGTGTGAGGTTAAAACCAACACTTTGATTTGGGCCTAGGCTGCCTGTGCAGCTGTGTCAGAATTGGGTGTTCCAAAATCAGCTCATCTTGAGCCTGGCAGCTGCACTCTACTGCAGTTTCTGAACAGCTTTCAAAGGCAGCTTCACAGAAATTGCACCACAATGACCCAATCTTGAGTTTACCAAAGTAGACTACTTCAGCCAGATTACTGCAGCCCAGACAGCGTCATGGTTAGGCCACCAGCCTAAGCTGGTGGAAGGCACTGTGCACCACTGAGGCCACCTGTGCCCCAAGTAACAGCAGTACAGTGGTACCTCGCAAGACGAATGCCTCACAAGACGGAAAACTCGCAAAACGAAAGGGTTTTTGGTTTTTTTAGTTGCTTCGCAAGACGATTTTCCCTATGGGCTTGCTTCGCAAGACGGAAACGTCTTGCAAGTTTGTTTCCTTTTTCTTAAAACCGTTAATACAGTTGCGACTTGACTTCGAGGAGCAACTCATAGCACACGGTGTGGTAGCCTTTTTTGAGGTTTTTTGAAGACTTTGGTGATTTTTGAAGCTTTTCCAAAACTTTCCCGACACCGTGCTTCGCAAGACGAAAAAGACCGCAAGACGAAAAAACTCGCGGAACGAATTAATTTCGTCTTGCGAGGCACCACTGTAGATAAAGGAAGAAGCCTGGACTATGGGCCAGGATTGAAGCTGAGAGCCTTTTGTATGCAAAGCATATATCCTACTGCTAAGCTGGAGTCCTTCCACTCCGTGGCACACACACCCCTCCATGTCCTTCAGTGATTTCCCCCAACAGGAATTAGAAAGTGGTTATTCTAAGGCTCACTCTGACCTGCAGGGAACACACATGGGTGCTCCAACACATCAGATTATGGTTTAAAATAAACCATGGTTTAATGTGGGCAAGCTCCTTCCCCTCTCCTGACTGGGCTACACAGGACAGCAAACCAGCCCTAAACAAGAGAGTCTGGTTTGTTGTTATGTGCAAATTCAGGTTCCTGCAGACTTGCAGTGTGGAGGTAAACAAGCTACAAGCGGGAAGCCAAAAACAGACTTTGGTTTCTGCTTTTGGTTTGGAGACAAACTATGAGCCTGTATGAACGTGGGTTTGCACATGAGGGCAAGCTAGTTTCCTTCATCCCTGTATGGCACAGTCAGAAACAGGAGATAAGAAAAGCACTTCTCTGCATTAAACCACAGCTTATTTTAAACAATGGCATTGAACACTGCTTGTGAACTGGGGTCAGAGACACAATTTGAAACCCAGAAACCAGCTACCTTGAGAGCCAAATTTTCCATCTTGGCTGAGCCAAAAACACTCTGAAGATGACTAAAGAGAGCCCCCCTGTGTGGATGCTCATCACAATTCTCTGCAAGGCAAAACTGCTGAAAAGGCTGGAATTTCTAGATACCGGCCTCAATGCTTGGGGAGCTAGCCCTGAGGAAAGACTGGCCAAGTTTGCAAATTCCTCCTGGGCCGAAGTGCAGGATCAGGTGACAACACTACCATTCAGATGAGAGGCAAAATGAAAAACGCCTTGCAAGGAGTGATTAGGTTAACACCCGGTGCACGTAAGAAAGAGCCAGCAAACACATTCAGTTACCTTTGACAGCTGTCCCAGATCAGGTCTCACCCAGCCCAACTTATCCAGGACGCAGTCATCAAAGACCTGCTGCTGCTTGCGGCACTTGCGAAGTTCTAGCAGGTTATTATAGTCAATGCAAGTCCAGTATTGGGTAAATGGCTCTGCGCAATGCAGCTTAAGCTGCCTAGAAACACAAAGATGCTGCATTAATGTTTCCTGAAGTGAAAATGTAGGCAGAGTGATTCTTAAAAGGCACCTTTTTATTTTGCTCACACATGGGTTTGAAGACCACAGCAAGCTATGTGTTCTCTCTGGTTACAGCTGGAGTACCACAAAACTAAAGTCATAGTGAAAACAGAAGAACTCTGGCCTGTAATGCCAACTCAGACTGCAAATATTTTCTATATTCGTGCTCCCATCCCCGTACCATGCAAAATCCCTTTGGCAAATAACACAAATATGTTTGTCAATCCAAAACTGAGAACAACAACAGGGTAGCATCCGATCAAAAAAAGTAAACAGTGTTAGTATTATTGCCTTTCAGTTTTTCTACAAAACTGAAGGAAGCATAGTGGATTCATAAAACTGTATTTCAAAGTTCTTACAGCATCTGATACATGACATTTTGGCAATTTAAAATCCAAGTCAGATGTGACCTATCACTGACAGGAACTTTTCAAAATTAGGAAGTTGTTCCCATCATGGAGGGGAAAGGAGCTACAGGGCACGAATGAGTCATCAATTAAAGACAATAATGGGTAACCATTTGAACTCACTATAGAATTAGAGGGAAGTTAAAACAGAAGATATCTGAGAAGAAACGTGTGCGTGTGTGTGTGCGTGTTTTAAAGAACACAGCAGTTGTCACAGGCACGATAATTGCCCTAGCAGATTGTAAAAGAAATCTGGATTCAGATCCCTTGCCTTGGATGAACCTGTGTGTCTTTCAGGGTCACTTCAGAGATATGATTTTCCTACAGAGTTAATCTTGGAGCTGGAGAAGCAAGTAGGTTATGAAAAAAGAATAGTTAAAACAGCATCATGTCACTTGCTTATTTTGACATAAGCAAAATTACTTACTCATTTACCGGTTACATTTATACCCTGCCTTTCCCTTAAAAAAAATCTGTAGGTACCTAACAGCAACAACATTCACAAGATAATTTAACCAATGTCTAATAAGACATGAGCAAAATTTGCTGTAGGGGAAGAGATTCAGTTTTCTTTTGCAATATGAACCTGCAAAGCCTTTGGGAGGCGGGATCTCAAATACTAAAAATGTATTTCTGGCCAAAGGAAGAAGGCAAAATTACTAGAAGGGCATGGGAGTAGTTTTATTTATTTGAAGGATTTTCTTTAGCCCTGCCCTTCAGGCAAAAATAAGCCCCCAAAGATCAGTAATAATAGATGGGCCTTTGGTCCGACTCACCAAGACTCTTCAAATGGCATACCTGAAGAAGTCCAATGCACACTTGTTCACTTCCTTGCCTTCCTTTAAACATTTCCGTGGGTCCTTCTCTTCCCAGCGGCAAAGCATGAACTCCTTGTTGGGCTTGTCACACTGTGAGCCATAATGATGAGCTGCTGCTTTCAGTACGGCTGAGGTTACATTTACCTGAGGAGCAAGCCAGGGAGTTAGCAACAGGCTGAGGGTGTGTGTCTGGGAATGCATAGGACTCTTACAAGCTCCACGAGAGCCAATTGAATGAAGAATAGCCAAACTGCAGGCATGCATTCTCCTTCTCATATATGTAAAATGGGAGTAAGGTCCTGCACTCACAAGAATGCCAAGGGGCAGCACACAATGAAACTTGTGTACTATACACAAACATTACAACACAATATATTTCATTTATTTAACAGAATTTGTATACCACTTAACTGTAAATAAAACCTCAACATGGTTTGCAAAGAATATGAAATATGGATTGAAGTTGTCCATAAAAGTTGAACGCAAAACAGGTTTTTTAAAAGCAAGACATAAATAAAAACAACCAGTTAAATATATTAAATATGTATGTTGCAAACTAAGATTAGATATTAAATTACATATCAGCTTTACATCTCTGGGTACGCTTGCCTAAACAAAGAAATTTCAGCAGGTGTAGAAGAGAGCACAGTGAAAGTTCTAGCTTAGTCAAGGCACAGGGAGTTCCAGAGTGTAGGAGCTACCACAAGATAATTAATTAAAAAACAGATTTTTTAAATGATATATAGAAGTAATAACAGGAAATGTTTTATGTAGGATGACACTAATTATTAAGACAATAAGAATCTTTTAATCTTTTTACTTCAAATGATTCCAATACTGGGCGAAGCAGGTTGTCTCAAGATATGGCAAAGAGAAATTTCCAAATTCCTGTGGGAAGGGAAGAAACCTAGGATTAAACACCTGATCTTAATAGACATAAAAGAGAGAGGAGGCTTTTCTCTACCCGACCTAAAACTTTACTGCGAGGCAGCCTGTTTCACCTGGCTAAAAGATTGGTGCACGTTGCAGGATCCGGACCTCCTGGACCTGGAAGGTTTTGACAACCGTTGGGGATGGCACGCCTACCTGATATATGGAAAAGCAAAAATTCATAAAAATTTTACCAACCATATAATAACAAAGTCACTCTTTGCTGTATGGGAAAAATATAAAGACCTGATGGAGCCCAAAGTCCTGTGGTGGACTTCTCCAACAGAAGCCATAGCAGTAAAACGGAAAAATACTCAGGAAAGCTGGCCAACATATAAAACACTTCTAAAAAATGAAGATAACCAAATAAAATTTAAAAACTTTGAGGAAATAAGAGAACACATCTCAGACTGGTTCCAATACCATCAGTTATTTGAAAGATTTAAATCTGACAAACAAAAGGGGTTCTCAACAGAAATTTCCCAATTCGAATCTGATCTTGAAATTCTAAAAGAAAAACTCTTTCCAAAACTTATCGACTCCTCCTCGACTGGACAGTCAAGGAGGAGGTGGTAACAGTGGCAATGGTGAGGTGGTCCCAGGATTTTGGCCATTCAATAACCATGGCCCAATGGGAAAATTTATGGAAGATCAATTGGAAATTCACAAATTGTTACACGATTAGAGAGAACTTTCAAAAAATGCAACATCGATGGTATCTAACACCATGGAAACTTTCAAAAATGTATAAACATGTGTCAAGTAATTGTTGGAGATGTGGAGACTCAGGAGCATTCTACCATATGTGGTGGATATGTAGGAAAACACATACTGGCAGAGTATCCATGTAGAAATGCCAAAAATGCTAAAGATGTCTTTCAATAAAAAACCAGAGGCCTACCTCCTGGGAATAACAGATTTGGATATTCCACAAAAGAGGAAGGGTATCTTTTTATATGCGATGGCGGCAGCAAGAGTTTTGATCGCAGCAAAATGGAAGAGTAATGAAATCCACTCTATACAAGATTGGATCCAAAAGCTGACAGAATATGCCAAATTAGATGGTTTATCAGAAAAAATAAAGAATAAATCAAAACAGGAATTTGTTTCAAAATGGGAGGTTTTCAAAGAATATCTGAAAAATAAATATAGTAGTTTAAATTCTGTTGCAGCATTTGAGGAACTTCAGTAATAGTTGCAAGGTAGATATATATGAAATTAGATTTATTAAGAATAAGTTTAATTATGATAAAAGTGTGTATTGGCAATGAGTAATATGAATTTGAAATATGGAATAGATGGGAGGTTGGGTCTTTAGTGTTAAGACCAATAGATGTTTTAATGTTTGCTAAGAAAATTATGTGTCTATGGTTATTCTTGTGTGAAATTTGGTATTTGTGTTTTTTTTTTCTTTTTTCTTGTTGTATCAATAAAAAACTTTATTAAAACAAAAAAATAAAAAAGAGAATCTGAACGTTCACTTTTAAACATTTTGTGAGAACAAGGGTTAGTGGTAGGAGGGAAAAGATACCCATATATGTGTAATATCAAGGTATTTAACGAGTGGAGTGTATTATCCCCCCAGGGGCTTATGATAAGCAATACAATACTCTTAATAAATCATACCCCTCTCTACACAAATGTTTTGCACAAGGTTGTACATCTTATTGGTTATCAATGACATCAGCGGCCAAAGTAGCGGGAGGAGAGAAGATTGTCAATCAAGAATACGTAATTTGAATTAAAAAACAAAAGCCAGTTGACAGCAAGGTAGGAGTTTTCATACAATATAACCCTTCACAGATAAGAATCTATATTCTGCCATAGAAATCTACGAGACCCTTTGTTGTCCCTCTGAAAATTATTATTGCATTTTTATACAGTAAACTTGCAGTCAAAATTGTGTATAGTCAAAGCACACTAGGCTGAATGGTGGGTGGGGTTGCCAAAGTCTTTTTTCCTGGATTACCACCCCTTTTCAGTCCCCCTTTTATTTTGTTTTTATCACTTTTTTGACAATCATTGCAGGCGTTGAACTAGATGGCCTTTGGGTTCCTTCCAACTCGTAAGATTCTATGATTCAATGAAGCACATAAAGCTGAATGTGCTCAAGTTCAATGTAAATTGTGGGCTCGCTGTACCTTTTCCTCTGAGGAGCTCAAGGTGGTCCCCCCCCCATTATATCCTCACAACAACGCTGTAAGGTAGGTCGGGTTGGGAGATGGCTGCTGGCCCCAAAGGTCACCCAGTGAACTTCACGGCTCAGTGCGGATTTGAACCACACACACTCCGCCATGAGGCTTGGGGCTAGTCCTTGGGAGAGCCAGCATGGGACAGCGGTTCGTGTCGGAGTAGGACCTGGGAGAGGACCAGGGTTCGAATCCCTGCTCTGCCATGACGCTCACTGGGTGACCTTGAGGGTCAGAGGCTGCCACTCAGCCTGGCCTACCCCACAGGGTGGTTGCTGTGGCCAGAAAGCTGTCTGCGGACAAACGCCGGCTCCCTCGGCCTGGAAAGTGAGATGAGCGCTGCGCCCCACAGTCGCCTTTGGCTGGGGATCCTTTACCGTTTACGTTACCTGTGGGGATCAAAGGAGGAGCAGGCAAGAACCACGTACACCAACCTTCAGGGGGAAAAGCGGGGTACAAATGCCATAAATAAATAAATAAATAAATAAATGGCAACACCTGCTGCAAAGGGTTTGAATTCCTGTTGCCGTCCTCCTTGAGGGCTTTTATTTAGAAGAGATATTTACTTAGCTTTCATCTATTTTATTTAGAATGGGTGGAATGGCCAAAACCTGGCCCAAAGGGGGGGGGCCACGAGTCACTTTGGGGTTGGTGTATGTGTACGTTTGTGAAATGACTTTTCTCTGACATTTTGGGTCTTAAATGGGGAGGGGGGTTTGGGAGAGGAAGCCCTTTAACAGCGAGGGGAGGGGAAAGAGGGGAGAGTCGACCCTGCCTGCAAATTGGGGGGAGGGGGCTACCTCACAGGGTTGCTGTTGTGGTGTAGCCTTATTGCAATGCAACGCAATTCACTGCATTGGGCTTGAAAGACGCCTTCTTTTGCTGCCGGCTAGCTGAGGAAAGCCAAAATTTATTCGCCTCTCAGTGGATGGACCCAGAGACCAGGACTAAAACACAGTACACGTGGACACGACTCCCACAAGGGTTTAAAAATTCGCCCGCACTTTTCGGGGTGGCTTTAGCCACGGACCTAGCTAGCTTCCCCACCTCCCCCGACCGCCTTCTTCTTCCGTATGCAGATGGCCTTCTAATTGCATGTAAAGAGGAAGACACGTGTCTGCAAGAGACCAAAGATCTCCTGAATCACCTGGCAGCAGCTGGCTACCGGGTGTCTCAGGCCAAAGCCCAAATCTGCCAGCCAATTGTCAAGTACCTTGAATTTGACATGTCCCACCAGCAGCGTAATTTAATAATTACCGCGTATGACTCCTCATGGAGCTCAAAGGGCGAGACAGAAACGTAACGAACAGATGCGGGGGTGGGGGACTGAGGGGGGGGAGGGGAAACTGAGGTGGGGGTCCCCCTCATACATTTGTGAGGGGTGGGATCAATACCACCTCTTCCCCTGCCCCCCCCCCGCGCCATTTCTCACGCTCACCTCATCCACTTCTAGCTCCTCCAGCGCGGGCACCTCCAGCGTGGGCATAGCTGCGAGCGAGCTGGCGCGGCGTATCCCGACCAGGTCTCTCCCCTTGGACTCTCCTTCGCCACCGGTCCTCACGAACCAGGCCAGGCGCCAAGGCAGAAACTGCGCATGCGCTTCCTGGCCGGCCGAGGGCACGTTATATCTGAGATAAGCGCATGCGCCTAGCACCCGCCACCTCCTTCCCGTTACCGCCACTCTTCTCCGTCTGTGTATGTATGCGAATAGGAGGAGGATTTGGGCATGCGCATTTAAGCCTTCCCGCCTCAGAGGAGGGACCCAGAGGGCGTGGCTAAAAAAGAGCTCCTTCTCGCGGAGGGTTGAGCCGCTTGCCGCTCTTCTCGCTCCTCGCCCCGCCCGCCTGCCCGGCGGCTCGTTGCTGTGGCAACCGCAGTTTGCCGGGGCCTGCGCTCCAACAGCCGGGCCGGGCCTACCTGAGCGCGGGTGGCCGGGCATGGAGTACACCGGCAGCTACTACCGAGGGGAGCGCGTCAACGGCAGGTCGGGAGGGAGGCAGGGCGGGCGAGGAAGCGGGGCGCAAGGTGGGGGCCTTCTCCCCACCCCCACTCGAGAAATGACTCCCGTGTTGGGGGGGGAACACTACGTGTGAAGGGTTTTTTCGCGTGTCCATGCTAAAAAAAGTACTATATGCGAACGGTTTTTCCTGTGTGTTAAAAAAAACAACAACTACATTTGAACGGTTTCCCCACTTGTGTTTGTTTTAAAAACAGCAAGTCAACGGGTTTTTCCCTGTGTCCGTGTTAAAAACAACATGTGAGCGGACCACACACACCCCATGACCGTGTTAAAAAAAACTGTCTGAACGGGTTCCCGTGTCTCTTAAGCAAAATACCTTACGTGAATGAGCCCCCCTCCTGTGCTAATCAAAATTTTACATACATGTAAACGGTTTCATCCTGTTTTTAAAATGCCATGTGTGAACGATATCCAGTATTAGTCATTCTCAGAGCAGACCCATTGATATCCATGCATTTCCATAGATAACTTTTCTGAGTATGACTAATACTAGTTTCACTCAAAAAATGGCAATTCTTTTAACAACATCAGTGGGTCTACTCTGAGTATGACTGAGTTAGATATCACCCAATATTATTTATTCTTCTGTGACAGTTGGTTTCATCTGCTCAGACTTCTTGCTGCTGCTTCTTTTATTTTTTATTTACTGTTTTATGATTATCTCCCCCACACTTTTTTTTTTTAAAAAAGCTGAAAAACACTCTGGATGTTTTGATAGAAAAGTGGTGCAGAATGAACAATCTTATTACCACCACCACCCCCCTTAGGTGTGCATGTTGGGACTCCTAATCTAAACAGGCTGAACCCTTTGTTGGTTGTATTAAATTGTATTCTCCCTGTGGACTTTTCTGCAGGTTGGAGGGCAAGGGCTCTTACACCCTCCCAACAGAAACGAAGTATGTAGGTGAAATGAAAGATGGGATGTTTCACGGCAAAGGTGTTTTGCACTTCCCTGGAGGAAGCAAATATGAAGGGACTTGGGAAAATGGAATATCTATAGAGGTATACAGCACATACATGTACATCTGAAGCACTCTTCCCTATCGTGGTGCCCCTCAGCCTCAGTCACCACCAGAGGAGCCAACTCCTAGGGGCCAAGGTCCCTTCGGCTCCCCCCCCCAAAAAAATATTGGAGGCCTCCCCAAATTGATGGGCATTTCCATTCAAACGGTATGCATGTGCCACATCATGCGATCAGTTATGTGGGACAGGGCTTACCTGCCCCCCCATATTTTATTCAATTTGGACCCCTGGCCACCACAGCGGGGGTTGATGGGTGCTGCAGGTCAAAACAACTTCATTGGTTGCTCAGACTGGGGAAGGCAACCCTGCCTTTCAACTGGGATCCATTTCAGAGGCCATACTGCAGCTGCTCCTCTCTTCAGAGGCTAGGCCAGCTAGGCCAGCATCCATTTGCTGGTTTGTTTTAATTTGCTGTTTTATTATGTTATTTCAAGCTCCCATTTCTATTATTTTTTATTGCCTTCCCCTCACCCTTAGGCCCAGGGGTAGGCACTAAAATAAATATTAAAAGCAATTTAAAACAACTTCTAATCAATCTGATCTGATCCGGGAGGTATACTCTAACATTCCTAGGTACCTGTATCAGCACCCCATTACCCTTGAGAGCAAAACAGAGTCTCCATGTTCTCTGGTGTGTTCATAGACCATCCGCTGTTTGTGGGCTTCCCAGTGGCATCTGGTTGATCACAGTGGGGAAGCAACATGCTCTGTTCTTTATCCAACAGAGCTGTCCTTAACCCCAAACTTTCCATTGCAGGGGAAATATACTTTTGCAGATGGACTGGAGTATGAAGACAACAAATGGCATTATTGTGATGGCTATGACAGAAGGTTTTATACAGAAATCTGCAGAGGCCTGAAGCCAGCAGGTACTGCCTTGTTTAAGCTTTTTGATGTAACAGACCAACTGCATTAATTGAGAGGGACTACTTTCTAAGAAGAAGCAGCCTCAATAGGTGGGCCCTGGGCCACTTCAGGCCCACCCCCCAACCTGCTGGGGTTGGCAGCAGCTAACCAAATAAATAGCTGCTGCTTCCTTCCTCTTCGTTGCTATTTGCTCCCATACCTGGTTCCACTGCCCACCTTGGCTGCTGTCACCTACTGCTGTGTTTTCATTGGCTATTGTGCCCTGATCCCACAGATCTGATGCCTAGGTGGGATGCAGAGGGCTTTTCTTCAGTATTAAAATGAATGCATAGCTTTGCTCACAAGGCATGTACATGGGAGTCCCTTGAAGCTTTGGATCAAGATGATATCATATCCCCCAATATAAGTGATTATTTACAGTGGTGCCTCGCAAGACGAAATTAATTCGTTCCGCAAGTCTCTTCGTCTTGCGAGTTTTTCGTCTTGCGATGCACGGTTTCCCATAGGAATGCATTGAAAATCAATTAATGCGTTCCTAGGGAAACCGCCTTCAGACCAGGTCCGGGGACAGTCTGTCCCCGGACCTCTTCTGAAGGCTGGGGGGGGGGCAAGGGCTTTTCTTCCCACCCCCAGCATTTTAAAAAACCCCGGGACAGCGGAGGACTTCTCCGCTGTCCGGGCGATCTTAAAATGCTGGCGGGCGGCATTTTAAAATCGCCCCGGGACAGCGGAGGACTTCTCCGCTGTCCGGGGCGATTTAAAAGCCCCTGGGAAGGCGGGCAGGGGGGACAAAGACTTTGCCCCCGCCAGCCTTCAGAAGAGGTCCTGGACCTCTTCTGAAGGCGGGCGGGGGCAAAGTCTTTGCTCCCCCGCCTTCAAAAGCCCTCCGGGACAGGCAGGCAGGGGGAGCAAAGACTTCGCCCCCGCCCGCCTTCAGAAGGTCTTCCCTCCCCCGCCCGGCTTCGGAGCACCGTCCGAGCCGGGCGGCGGCGGGAGGTCTTCCCTCCCCCGCCCGGCTTCGGAGCACCGTTCCGAGCCGGGCGGCGGCGGGAGGTGTTCCCTCCCCCGCCCGGCTCGGAGCACCGTTCCGGAGCCGGGGCGGCGGGGAGGTCTTCCTCCCCCGCCCGGCTCGGAGCACCATTCCGAGCCGGGCGGCGGCGGCAGGTGTTCCCTCCCCCGCCCGGCTCGGAGGAGCCTCCGGCCCGGCGGCGGCGGGAGGAGGTGTCCCCGCCCCGCCGCCAGGCTTCGGAGGAGGTCCGAGGACAGTGGGGAAGACGCGCTGCGCTTCCCCGCTGTCCCTGAGATTTCCTATGGGCTGTCGTCTTGCGAAGCAAGCCCATAGGGAAATTCGTTTTGCGAAGCGCCTCCAAAACGGAAAACCCTTTCGTCTAGCGGGTTTTCCGTCTTGCGAGGCGTTCGTCTTGCGGGGTACCACTGTATTGGTTATTCTCCTTAAAGACCTGGATACTTTAAGTGACTTCTTCATATGCTGATATCAGCCTGTTTTCAATTTTAAGGCATTTCCCAGCTTACAAACCTGGATCCTCCTCGGGTCATCCCAGCAGGCTGCTATGACTGTGGTGACGGCTTCTATAACCCAAAAACCAGAGTGGTTGTTGATTACCACCTCCGGTTTCTGAGGAATGCAGGTATGGCTTTGTCAATCAGATCAGCAATACAATATTTGTGTGCTTACTATGTACTTCTAATGGTCTAGTTATTGAATCCTAAACCTTCACCATTAGATGCAATTTCAGTTACAAGGATTCAGGACTTGCAACAAAGATGTCAGCTATGGAAATGGGGGAGGGGGTGACCTTGGGAGCATGCAATATATAATTTGGGGTTCAATTATTTCTTTCTTAGAAATTTAGAGGAAATTGCAAAATAGAATTCTGCCATTTTATGATCAGATCATGTGTCCAGGAATATCAGACTCAGTAGAAGGCAAGGCTGGCCCAAAACATTTTGGCACCTGATGCAAACCCCCCACCAGGGAAGAAGGGGTGAGTGAGGATCTGCATCAGGAACAAGGCGATCAACCTTATCTGGCAGTTGAGATGGGAATCACAGGCTGTTGCAGGGCAGAAAGGGGCCTGCTCAGAATCACGCTTGGCAGGTGCAAAGTCCAGGAGACCCCAGAGGGCAGCTCCCACCATTTCTTCCCTAGGGGTGGGAGGAGACCAACAGCGTCTCCTGTTCACTGGGCTGCTGCAGAGGCAGCATTGAAGACGGGTGTGCTGCTAAGGAGGTAGCAGATCCGGCCTGCAAGGAGTGTGTGGTAGCAGGTGATGTGTTCCTTGAAGGCCAGATCTGCTGCACCTATGGGTCCTGACACCCAAGGCAGTTGCCCCACCTTGCCTCGTGGGTGAGCTGGCCCTGGTGGAAGGCTCATACAAGAACAAACTGAATTTGAGAAACTAATAATGAAATATAAAAGGCATATAAAAGCAAAAAAAAAAAAAATCAGTTCAATTTGATACAGAGTAAAGAGCAGGTAAAGGAACATAAGGTTTGTTGGACGTTTGAGCACATGGGTTTTAAGACAGCCGGCTCTACATCTCTTCTTGTTAGACCAATGTGTCTTAGGTTGCACTCTACTTTACAGCTTCCTGCTGCTCCTCACACTTCTTTCTTGAACTTCAAGATAAGAGGTCAGGCTGGAACTACAAAGGCATGGTGGCCATGTCTTCCTGTAGTCTAGTTGGTTAGGGAAGGGGAGGGAATTAGAAGTAAAAAATTATTGAAATTTTAGGATATGAAATTCCCCATCATCCTGTTCTGCTTTTATTAAATTATGTAAGAGTCAGGAAGGCCACAACAGAAGGAATGTGTTTTATATATGTTAACAGCATATACAGTAATTTATGCAAAGAAGTGAAGACAATCATCTATACCCCCAGTAACTGATTGGCATGAAAAAGTCTGGGAATATGCTCTTATGGCAAAATTGGCTTGTTATTTAAGGAGTAAGCAAGCACAAATACAATATTTATTTATGAAGAAACAGATAAGCTTCATTCAGTATTGCCAGTCTAGAGGATGCATCCCTAATACATTATTTTGTAAATCTCTTTGGGTTACCACTTATAAAGAAAACAACTAATAAGAGCAATACATTAATAAATAATAAGTAATGTATGTTATAGTTTTTCAATCTCCTGTTCAATGTTATGGTTGAGTTTGAATTAATAATTTGGAGAGTGAGTAAAGGATTGTTTTTCTGATAAGGCTGAGGAGAAGAATACTGTTAAATTTTCCAGATAAGGCATAATGGTACAGGGTAAAAAAAAAAAAGTTGTATGCAGTGTTAATATATTTAGGATTTCCTGCTATCTTTCAATTCCTTTTGAATTAGGGAACAAAACCAAGGTCTACAGTTTTAAAACACCCACACCCTTACACCCCCATAGTTTAACCATTCTGACATTTTGTCAAGCTGTAGTTTGCCACAAACCAGGAAACACTCACGGCAGGATTTTATTTTTTAACTTTTGCATCTTGCCCCCCACCAGTTGCTTAAAGGTAAAGGTAAAGGGACCCCTGATAATTAAGTCCAGTCGCGAATGACTCTGGGGTTGCGGCACTCATCTCGCTTTACAGGCTGAGGGAGCTGGCGTTTGTCCGCTTCCGCAGACAGTTTTTCTGGGTCATGTGGCCAGCATGACTAAGCTGCTTCTGGCACAATGGAACACCAAAACCAGAGCAGCGCACGTAAATGCTGTTTACCTTCCGGAGCGGTACCTATTTATCTACTTGCACTTTGCCGTGCTTTCGAACTGCTAGGTTGGCAGGAGACCAGTTGCTTAGGAAACCATATAAGGGGTCACCATTATTTTCTCAACAGCCTCCCAGACGCTAGGCTTGTCTTAAAGGGTTTCCCTCAATTAGCTTCATGGCTAAGCAAAGGTTTGAGCCTGGGTCTCTACTCACTACACCACACGGCTGTTAGTGTAAGGTTACCAGATGTCCCCGTTTCCTGGGGGCAGTCCCTGGATTTACAAATCAGTCCCCATACAAAATCCTGTCATTCCTATTGAGGTTGAAAAGTGTCCCCGGATTCATTGAAAAAATCTGGTAACCTTAACTTAGTGGCCTTTGTAGTGGGTGAGGCAGGGAGCAGGGAATAAGTGTGGAGTTTGTGGCGTAATCTCTACTTCCAGCTGCTAAGCACGAGCAGATCTAAATGGCTCCTGGTGGCACTAGCCCAAAATACTGGAATGCAGTGGCTCTGCTGATGCATATGATAAGCACACGCTTTCCAAAAACACAGGAACCTAGACAGATCAACCCAGGCGGGAACGCCTAGGAATTCCTTTTTTTTTTAAATCTCCGCTTTGAACTCTCCTTTGTTACACTTTATTACTATAAACTTACAACAGTATCAGCCCCGATTAAATGGCCCATTGTATATGTCCCGTTTTGCAAAGCAATTGTCTGCCGAGTGTCCAGGAGGGCCCCCAGGCTCTTTTTGCTTTGAGGACATGGGTGTGAAGATGGGATGCAGCTCAGGAGTCCATCCCTTCCTTTAAGGGCACCAACACAATTGAAAGAGCCAGGGCTTGCCTGACATCAGAGGAACTCCAGTAGCCCCAAGAGAAGTCGTTCAAGGCTCAAGGCCACAGAGGTGACAAAATAGGCGGGTAAATAGCCAGGCTGTGTGCGAAAGAAGCCAAGGAAGTGGTCGGGAGCGAGAGGGAACAGATCCAGGACTGCTTCTTTACAGGAAAGGCAGGAAAACCCCGTCAGGCTGCTGGCCAGGTCTTGGAAGCATCAAAAGCAGATGGCAGGAAACATTCAGAAACCTTTGGCAAAACCCTGGTGGGCTTGCTTAAATTATGCCGTTTTCCTAAAGAGCTGGGCTCGAGATCAGATCAGCTTTTTCTTAGCCTCATGCTTTCTTCCTCTTTCCTCTGCCAACTTGAGATCACAAACGTTGGGATAGGAGACCCTTCAAAGGTGAGAAGTGAGATTCTAAAGGGGGGGAAACAAGTCCTGAATGGGTCTTCACTGCTGCTCAGTACCATCATATATAGGTAGATAGATGGGTTTCATTATTTGCTATATTTTTGTTCTGCTTTTCAATCCATTACTGTCTCCCAAAGCAGGTCACATCACTAAAACAAAGGCAGGGAGAAGGGAAAGACAAGCCCTGCCATAAGGCTTACAAACCAGAAAAACAAGGAAAGGCAAATGGAGAGGAGCAGGAAGCAGTTTCCCTATAGCTGCTCCTTTGGCTGATTGGCAAGGCCAGGCTTTGCTCCATTCCTTGATGTTTTTCCTGGGAGGCAGCACGTGCAGCCTCCCAGTGGCCTTAGGTCCCTTTGCGAATGGCAGAAGCAGTGTGTGATAAATACTTTGAGGTCACAGAATGTTCACAAATATTCTAACAGCTGGGGAAGAACGTTCAATATTTTGACTGCTTACCAAGCAATGCAGCTCAGCTCCTACGAGAGCCGTAGGAGGTTTGTTAGGTCAGGATGAAAAACAAAGTTGCAGAGGAATTCAGGACAGAAGGATCTGGGTATTGGTGTCAGGAAGGAGGGCAGAGTCAGAAAATTGAGAGGTTGTTGGTAACAGGATGCAGCTAAGTGGCAATGCAGAACATGCTGGGATAGTGGCTGAGGAAGCCTTGTGCTTGAGAAACGGGAGCCTGTGAAGGTGATAGGTGGAAGAATCAGAGGCTGAGGTAAAGAGGCTTTTTGGATTGAAGAGTGTATGAGAATCTCAGAGCCTACATACCTGAAAGGCTGAAAGAAGAATGGGAAGCTGCCTCGTACACGGTCAGACCACCAGTCCATCTATTGCTAACTGACTAGAAGCTGATTTCCAAGGTGCCCAGGAGGTCCCATTTCCAGCCCTACCTCCCAGAGTAGCTGGGGGGCTGAACCGGGGACCATCTCCAGGCAAAGCTCTGCAGCTTAAATATGACCCTTCTTGTAAAAAGAGCACCTGCTGTTGCAATGGCTCCAACCAAGGTCATGTGTGAATGTCCTTCCATCATGCTACTTTCTCTCACCCTCCCATGTTGGTCCAGTTTGCACGTAACCGCAAACCGTACACCACAGGCCTTTCAGTCCCATGCATGGGCGGCACGAAGGCTGAGCCCCTGTTCCTGCCTTGCCTGCACTGGCACATGCCTCCCCTCCCTCCGGCGGCTCCTGAGAGCACACCTGTGCCTTTAGAAAGCAGAGAGTGCGCGAAGTGGCCCTTGAAACACAGGACAATTTAGTCATTTATATGCCAGTTGCCTTTTTTCTTCATTGCTGTTCCAAATTCAGAGGAGGTCCGACTCCTGCAAATGTGAACTCCTTTGACAGCTCTCCAGGAATGAAAAAAAGGAATGCATTAAAAAACAAAAAAATAAATATAGTTATTTAGACACTTTGCAAATGAAATACACTGGGTTTTTGATCAATCACCTCAAGTTCTTCACTGCTTATTTTTATTTGATTTTTTTAAAAAAAAAATGCTATACTATAACTCTTACTTGCTTTTGTATATATAATCATTGTGAATTACAAGCCGTGTGAAAGATTTTAGCTCTGGGGCATTTGCCAGATGGTTGATTTTGCTTTTTTTTTTCACATGACAAAAGACATAATGTTTGTGGCAGGCCCTGAGAAATTGTTGGTAATCAGTGTATTCTTCAAAGGAACGGGCGCCAGACCTGTTTGCAAGAATGTTCAGCTTTTGCAGAAATTAATTGTGAGCACTTTTAGTCTCTGCTCCTGAGCATGGAACAAAACCAAATTGTGCCAATTGTTTTGCTGGTTTTCCATCACATAGCTACGTGAGCAGAGGAGAGGTAGATGGGACATGGGTTGTTCTTGTTTTTAACATGCTATAGTTTGCTGCCCATTTATTGATCATTTTTCTGCTTGGGCTGGGAATGTCAAAAATATTGCCATACAGTTCAATGCATAAACCTAATGCTTGGAAGCGCCGCTTGGTGGTTTTGGGATGTGGGCAGCTGCTTTATTGCCCATTGCTATGACTGGCAGTGGCTCTCTAGAGCCTCAGGCAGATAAAGGTCTCTCCCATTTCTTACTGCTGATCCTGTATTTATTTATTATTAGATTTATATCCCACTCTTTCTCCAAAGACTTCAAGGTGGCATAAACACCACACTCTTCTAAGTACCCTCCCTATTTTATCCCCACAATGACCCTGTGAGGTAGCTTAGGCTGAGAGTGCGTGCCTGGCCAAGTGGGAATTCGAACCCTCGTCTTCCAGGCCCTAGTCCAGCACTCTAACCATTGTGTTGCACTGGCTTTCATTGGAGATGCTGGAGATTGAACCTGGGACTACAGGTTTTGGACTACAGCTCCCAACAGGCCCAGCCAGGTTGGGCATCTTGGACTACAAGTTTAAAGTCCAAAGCAGCTGAGGGGCACCAGTTTGGTGAAAGCTGCCGCTGAACACCCTGCATCCTGGGCCATACTGCCCACTCACTACATGAGAGATTAATGGCTGACCTTATAGCAATGACAAGAGTTTCAGACCTTCCACACAGAACTCCCTGCTCCAACTGCCAGCATTTCTCCAAGGCTCAGCAGGGGTAACTTGAAACCCTTTAACCAGAAATGGAACCTTTTTTGTAATTTTTCTAAGTGCAGAGCATTTTATATAAGAAACAAAGCAATATTTAAGATCACAGCCCATCTAAGCATGCTGATGAATCATCTCCTGAGTTTTAAAAAATGACCATGGAGTTGTACCATATAAATATATGAATGCAAAAAATCTATCTACTCCTAGGATTTAAAGAAAGTTTCATTAGTAGGAAGAACTCCCTTTACTTTGTCTTGGCCCGTTGTCAGAGCTCACTGCTGAAGCAACAGTTCTCTCTAAGCTCCCGCCTTCCTGAACTGGGGGAACAGAAACCCCGTATTTGATCTCCTCTTGTCTTGCCTTAAAATACATCTTTGGGAGCTGTCTCTTAGCAACAGCCAGCAAGGGAAGGCTAGTCTCCATTGTGGGCTGAGCACCACTCCATTGCCCCAGAGGACCTTAGTGCTGCTAGTAGGCACAGACTGAAGGACAAGCTCAGTGATGAGGGCAGGCAATGCCACCTGAATAATCCTGGCACCAGCATATCAGTTCCTGATATCAGACTTAACAGTGATTTTTATTGTTAGAACCTTTTGTGAGGCACTTCTAAGAGATTCCTGGGGATAGAAAGTCAGATACAAGTATTCTAAATAAATAACAGCACCTGTAACAGCACCTCTCCTGGCCATCTTTTCTACTCATCTCCTATGGCAATGTTGCTGAACTGACTCCCAACACATGTGGCCACTGAATATGCATTCAGGAGCTGATAGAAATTGTAATTCAGCAACATCTGGAAGGCCAGAGGCTCCCCATCCCTGCTCTATGGGCTCATCTTCCTGGCAATACATATATTTGAGCCATTTTCAAAGCAGGCCTCCCTGGGGAGATGTGAAGGGGAGGAATTTAAGCATCTCCCCACCACACTTCCAGTGTGTATCATGGAGGTGATAGCCACCCACCATTTCCCAAAAAAATCCATAGAGATCTCTTCGAAGCAGGCACCTTCTAGGTTAAGGGGTTCCACAGAGGATGCTTTGTCTGAGAGCCCCCAAAATTCTGGTGCTGGTTTTATGTTTTAAATCACATGAGTGGGGACCTGTGGACTCCCAACCTGTTGTTGGACTCTCATCCACCCCAGTCAAGATGGCCAGTGCTCAGAATTCCACTCATTCTCTAGAACACCCATGTGCTGTTCATGAAGCAGAAACAGTGGCAAGCTTTACACACCTCCTGAAGACACATCTGTTTAAACAAGCATTCCCGGGCCTATAAAATTCATCACATTGTTCTGTTCTATTATTTATCAGTATTTAACTCAATGTTTTATTGATAGCTTCTCTGGTTTAATGATGTATTCCTTTGTACCTTTGGCTTTAAATGTTGTACATACATTCTTCTTTTAATTATCTTTCTGCGTTTCATGTAAACTGCTTAGGGAGTTTGCATATTAAGTGGTTTGTAAATGATGATGATAATGTTGACGAAGATACTGGGTAACAGGGCTGGGAACAACCTCAGCCTGACACCGTGGGGAGCGGCTGCCAATCACAGTTGACCAAGAGTCTGTCCTGGGCAAGATGGCAAGATCTGAATTCTCCCAGTTTCCGGACCTTAAAACAATTGCTGCTATGAAACCTGCAAAGGTTTAAGTTCCAATCCTCGGCTTGCCAAGAATAACAGGGAGTGTTTGGGTTTTAGCTCTCCCAGTGCAGATGCTGAGAAGATTGTGATGCATGCTGCTTTACAGCTTGTGGGCAACTGCGCCGTGTAACATTAACAAGTGTAAAAAATGTCATCCAGGCTGGGAATTTCCTTTTAATGGGCAATTTGGAATTGTATGAGTTAAATGGAAATGAGAGAGTAAAGCATTATGGGGTGAAGGTTAATTGAGTATTTTAAAGTTTCCGCTTGTCAGCCAAGTTGCAGTGGAGTATAGTGGGTGGGTGGGTGGGGTTCCATGAGTAGGCATGGCCCTGGGCTGGAGAAGTGTCTTCATGCTTCTCCAGTGTGAAGAAGTTTCACAGGACATTTCCCAAAATCACTATTTAAAAATGCACTATTTTGATTTTGCTTTTAAGTGCTTTCTGGGACAGGGAAGTTCCTGGATTTTTAAAGGTTCGTACAGATCGCATTTACCCCATTTCTCTTATAAAAGCAAGCCGCAGATGGGGCCCCACCGTTTCTTCATAGTGCAAGGACCTATTTGGGTAGCTTAGGGAAGAGGTAGAGTTCTGCAGACTTCTTAATTAAGAAAAAACCCAAGTAGTGTTAAGGGGGAGGGGACATGATTGAGGTTTGTAAATTAATACGTGGAGCAGAGAAATGTATCTTTTCCATCCTTCCCCCTATAACAGTATAGCTTAGGAAGTCACTCAGTTGAATTGATTGCCATTCAGTTCAGGAGAGACAGCCACAACAAAAGAACTTCTTCATAAAGTGCATCATTAACTTACAAACTTTACAGCCACAAGGTGTGGTAATGACCCCAAGCTTAAATGCTTTTGAAAGGGAATTTGACAGACTCATGGAGGTCTGACCACAGAATTTGTAAATGATGGCTAGATAAAACCCCCAGTTTCAGAGGCAGTGTACCACTCCAAATCAGCTCATAGACTCATAGAACTGGAAGGGAACCTGAGGGTTATCTAGTCCAATCCCCTGCAATGCAGAATCTCAACTAAAGCACCGATGACAGATAGCATCCAATCTCTGCTTAAAAACCTCCAAGGAAAAGAGAGTCCACCCCCTCCTGAGAGAGTCTGTTCCACTGTTGAACAGCTCTTAAACTGTCAAAAGGTCTTCCTGCTGTTTAGTCAGAATCTCCTTTCTTGTAAATTAAATCCATTTGTTTGGGTGTCACGCTCCAGAGTAAGAGAAAACAAACTTGCTCCATCTTACTTGACAACTCTTTAGGTATTTAAAGATGGCTACCTACCCTCAGTCTGCTCTTATTCAGGCTAAACATACCCAACTCCCTCCACCATTCCTCATAAGGCCTGAATTCCTTGATCAACATGGTCACCCGCCTCTTCACGTGTTCCAGTTTGTCAATATCCTCCTTACATTGTGGTGCCCAGAACTGGACACAGGACTGCAGGTGTGGTCAGACTCTGACCAAGGCAGAATAGAGCAGCTCTATTACTTCCCTTGATCTGGACAATATACAGTACTTCTGTTGATGTAGTCTAGAATAGCGTTAGCTTTCTTCCTTTTTTTTTTCTTCTTTTTTTTTTGCTGCTGCATCACGTTGTGATCCTTTTCACATGTACTGATGACAAGCCAGCATTTGCCATCTTATATTTGTACAGCTAGTTCTAGATGCCTAAGTGCAGAATGTGGCAGTTGTCCCCGTTGAAATTCATTTTGTTAGCTTGTGCCCAGTTCTCCAGTCTGTTAAAGTCATCTTGAATCCTAATTCTGTCTTCTGCGGCATTAGCTATCCCTCCCAGTACGATGGCACCTGCAAGTCGAATGAGCATCCCCTCAGTTCCTTCATCCAAGTCATTTATAAAGACACTGAGCAACAGCAGGCCCAGGACAGAACCCTGCAGCGCCCGACTTGTCACTTTCTCCCAGGATGACTAGGAACCATTAGTGAGCACTATTTAGAGTCAGTCAGTCAATCATACAATCATATCATAGATTTATATCATATATATTATTCAATCATATACCCTACAACCATAGCATATATAATATCATATCACAGATATTATCCTATAATGCAGTCATATATCATACTGTAAGGTAAAGGTACCCCTGACCGTTAGGTCCAGTCGCGGATGACTCTGGGGTTGCACGCTCATCTCTATAGGCCAAGGGAGCCGGTGTTTGTCCACAGACAGCTTCCGGGTCATGTGGCCAGCATGACTAAGCCGCTTCTGGCAAACCAGAGCAGCGCACGGAAACGCCATTTACCTTCCCTCCGGAGCGGCACCTATTTATCTACTTGCACTTTGACGTGCTTTCAAACTGCTAGGTTAGCAGGATATCATACTGTACTGCCATATAACAGAATATCATACAATCATATCATATCATACATTCATATCACACAGTCACATAATCATATCATACAAGCGATCATATACAATCATACCATAGCATATCATATCATATGATCGTTCAATCATACATTTTCATTCCTAGCTTGTGAACTTCCTGGAGGATCTGGTTGGTGACTGTGGAAAGCAAGATGCTGGACTAGATGAACCTTTGGTCCTGCCTAGGAGGGCTGTTCTTATGCACGTGAGAACTGATTCAGAGCAAGTGCTCTGCTGCAAAGATCGCCCTAGCATGGGGCCTTCTTTTTATCCCCAAGGTTAGCCTGAGCTCCTCTGGGGGCCAGATGTCCAGGCCCAAGGGTGGAAAAGTACTGCAGGCAGCAAGCGACCAAGGTAAAAATTGAGTTTTGGATTGGCGAGGAAGTTGGAGACTGGTACCATGGTCTGTGGTGTAGGAGAGAGAATATAAGGAGATATGAACCTACCTTATTTCAAGTCAGGCCATTGATCCATCTGGCTCAGTATTGTCAATGCTGAGTGGCGGCAGCTCTCCAGGGTATTAGGCAGGGGACATTTCTGCCCTACTTGCAAAATTGTGCTTTGACCATGGCTTGATTTTGGGAAACAAAACTGACCCAGAGAGAAGCTGGTGCTTGGATGCACCTTCCAGGGATTCTGGGCAGATCTTCACCTGGCCTGCTGACACCTGTCATACTTCCTGGGCTAGTGTAGAATGCCTTGGAACATCCACCATTGCTTTATCTTTTTATTGCTAAGTATTCCTGGGTGGCCCATTTCTCCTTTCTACAGAGAGCAACTTTCTTTTGTTGCTTCACGCGCTGAAGTCCTTCCCTGCCCCCCACCCATCCCCATCTAAGGGATTTCTACTTCACCATGAACTGGGGCCACCAAAAAGGGGACAATGGAGAAAGAAAGAACTTTTAAAAGATGAAACGAGCAAGCGTGGATTTGATTCTCACCCACAATGTGGAGAGCTGCCTAATTGCGCCGGGGTGATAATTTCCAGTTGATTAAAGAGTATTTGTATTCTTTCTCTCCCCACCCCGACTCCCTACCACCACATTTAACCCCCCCCCAAAAAAAAACCCCAGAGGAAATCACATATGAAGGTAAAGATGTGCTTTGGTGTTCGCATTAATATAACCCAACAATTGCCTTTGCAAAAAGAAAAAAAAAAGTAATTACAACTTGCTGTCTGGGGAGCACTAATCAAACTCCAGGCTTTAATTCTGCTTTAAATATGGATGAAACACAACTCTCCATGCTCACCCTGGTGTTGTGGGGTTATGGAAGCCACCGGGGATGGCACGAGGGGATCTGCGTGGTTAACAAGCAGCTGCTGCCAAGCCAGATCGGCATCTGTGATTTAAATTGTTAGCTGCACAGTCAGGTAAAGTGTAAAAAGGGTGGTCGAGAGGCTGTTAAGTCCCTGGCCGCCAATTACGAACAATCAAGGAGGAGCCTGAACATTCGCTTAGTACAATAAACCCAGTTTGTCTTGTTTCAGGGGTGACTGCTGAAGAGGCTGCAGCTGCACTGATTCAAATACCCAGCAACTACAGTGATTATCAGGCAGCCTCCTCCTTTTAGGGTGGCAGAAGTAGTATGCTCAGCCCATCTCTTTTAACTCTTTAGTTTCCAACAGGTTTGAGCCTCTTCTCATGCTGCCAGGGCCCTGCAGACCTGTGGTATCATGGTCCCAAGTCATTCAGCACAGATTTGGTCAAGGATTCTCTTCCAAATACATGGGCATTGGAACTTAAAGGTGTATGTGATAATAACTTTATGACAGTGGGAGCTGTTCGACAGTGGAACAGACTCCCCTGGAAGGTCTTGGACTCTCCTTCCTTGGAGGTTTTTAAGCAGAGGTTGGCTGGCCATCTGTCATGGATGGTTTAGTTGAGATTCCTGCCTTGCAAGGGGGTTAGACTAGATGAGCCTCAGGGTCTCTTCCAACTCTACAATTCTGTGATTCTAAGAAGAGACCCCCAAAGGCCCATTTGGTCCAGCATTCTGTTTTGCACAGTGGCTAGTCAGGTGCCTGCAGGAGGACAAAGGCACAAGCCCTACCTCATTGACTTCCTCAGCTGGTATTCTAACTGGTACTGAACATGGACATTTTTTATAGATCCTCACCACAACTCTTGGATTGAGAGAGGCCAGACTTATCCTACCACAAGAACAGAGGAGCTTGGAAAATGCCTTGTGTTCCATCATTTTGGCTAGTCAAGAACCATTCCCATTCGTGGTGACTGAAACAGCTCCCCAGGCTTTAAATGTGACACATCTTTGCCTTCCAGGTTCTACCAAATCTGAAGCATGTCTCTGGTTTGCGATACCCCACATCTTACAGATAAACACCAGTGCACACAAGCTGTCTGGAAAGCAGTTGAAAGACAAGCTTAACCTCAGTTGTGATTTGCAGCCCTTGGGTGATTGAGTAATCCAGTGTTTCTCAACCTTGGTTCCCCAGCTGTTGCTGGACTGCAGCTCCTATCATCCCTGACCACGAGTCCTGCTAGCTAGGTCTTGAGCAGAGACTTTTTCCACTCAATATCTTCTAACTGGGAGCATCAGGTCTTATGCCTGCAAATAACGCCTTCAAGCATGGAGGCCAGAGCAGGTACCTTACTTGAAAAGAAAGCAATGCTATGTTTCACCCAACTTAATAATTGAGCCATTTTGGAGGAAGCTGTATTATACTGAGTCCAACCATTCATTCATCTTAGCTCTGTATTATCTACAATGACGGGTATAGCATGAGACTCTTAATCTCAGGATCGTGGATTCGAGCCCCACATTGGGCTAAAAGTTGCCTGCATTGCAGGAATTGGACTAGATAGCCCTTGTGGTTCCTTCCAACTCCACAATTCTGTGGTTCTATGACCGGCAATGGCTTGCCAGGATTTCGGATGGAGGTCTTTCCCAGTCCTCCCTGGGGATGCCAGGGATTGAACTTGGGGCTTTTGCAGGCAAAGTGGGTGCTTTGTCACTGAGGTTTTGAAGGAGTGTGGTTCAGTGGATTGATTGTTAGCAGCACCCGCAGAAGCCTGGCTTCAGATCCCTGGCTCGGTTGCAAAGCTCACGGGGTGACCTTGAGCCAGTCATTCACTCCCAGCCTGGCCTTCCTCACTGGGCTGTAGGAGAGAGAAGAAAAGGAGAGGCCTCCATATGCATAGCCCTGAGCCTCCTGGCAGGAAGGGCAGGATGCTGACGTGGCAAATAGTGCCGTAATTTAAGACGATTCGGCTTGCTGTGGTATGGGGTTTACTTAAACAAGGGGGTATGGAGCAAGGGTTTGGATAGGGAAATGTAATCTCCAATGCCAACTTTTAAAGGGTGCATTCTGCTGGGCAATTATGCTGATTGAGCCTGCTAAAATGAATAGGGGCTGCAAGAGAGCACCATTATTTCCATTAATTTCAACCGAACTTGCATTTAATAACTTTTTGCCCCAAAGGTGGTTAGGCTGCAGTGCTACACATGCTTATTTGAAAACAAATCCTGTTGAAATTGATGGAACAGAAAAAAACATTTTGAGCTGAAGCGTTAGCATTGCGTTTGGCTGCAGCTGCACACAAATATGAGAATAAGGTCTGCTTATAACTGGATGAAACAAGGAGTGAGGTCACACATATTGTCTCTAGCATTCTTAGAGGAGGAGGGGAAGAATAAAGCCCTGATTTCAACAAGACCTACGTGCCAGTAGATCTGGGATGGTGGTATAATTTTATGCTAACAGTAGGGCTTTAACCTTTAATGGGTTAAACAGATCAGTCAACTAACACTTTGGTCAGTGGGGTCATCCACACTTCTACTTGACTCAGTATTTGTGTACCATTTAATTCCTGCCCACCCCCCACCCACCCTGGTCCAAGAGCTTTTCTTGTTATTCTGCAACTGTTCCTTGCTAAAATCTGATCTTACCCGCTGAATTGAAGCTTGGTTAAGCAAAATCTCTTTTCAGGTTTTCCGTGCATCTAAGAAGATCTGAATCACCAGGTAAGATCTGATTTTCATAAGGCACAGCTACAAAATGACAAGAAAAGCTCTCGAACTCAGAGGAATTAATCAGTACATAGTACTATCAAAATACGGGCCAAGCAAAAATGTAGATGAGCCCAATTAATCTGTGTGTAACAATCCCAATTGGTGTGTTGAAGACACTAGTTTCTTTTTTGAAACCTTTCCAATTTAAAATTCTTGAATGAAAATAATTAAAATATTCCTTCTGACAATGTGTGGTAGATCTCAATGATTTAATCCAGTCTTTGCCAACCTGGTGTCTTCCAGGTGTTTTGGACTACAACTCTCATCAGCCCCAGCCAACATGCCTGTATAATGCTGGGGCTAATGGGACTTGTAGTCCAAAACATCTGGGGGCACCAGGTTGGTGAAAGCCAATTTAATCAAATTATCTTGCACTTGCTTGAGGATGCCAAACAAAGGCACCTGTGTCAAAATTTTGGCACTCTGCAAAATGATTTAAATTAATGAATTGAGCAGTTTAAAAAGATTATATCAAATCGACAAACCTTGTAAATGTGAGCTATTTTTACATGCCACCCAAAATACTGGTTTTGTTTTTATTGTAACAAGAGTCACAAAGGTTTGGTGATAACCTGAAATTGTTTTCTTCTGTGTTTTTCCTTCCTGTACCTTCAGAAGTTTCAGGGACTGTTGTGGCTCTGATCTGTGCTCATTTTTATTGCTTACCAGCATCTAACATGAACTGTTCCCCCCATATGACAGGAATACAATGAACATCTTTGATTGGAACACCTTTTAAATGCACCTTTGTCCATTTGGCAAAAAGGGGCATCCAATAAGGCAAGGAGGGCAGTCTGAATTGACTCATTATTGATGCTTCTTTTGTTTCTCACCCCCCCATCCCACCCCCTCAGATGATGATGAACATGACTGGATTGTTAGGACCTGTCGGAAAGGTTGGGACGAGATCACTGGTTTCAAGCCAAAGGAGTAAACCTCATTAAGGAAAACAGAGAAACAGACTTCCCGTTGAAGCCTTCTGCTTCCCTGCTCAAGGACTCTGCACCTATAATTTCTCCATTAGGGTAGTTTTTTGTTACCTTTGCTAACCAAATAAGATGTAAACCCCTCACTTCATCAGTGGCATTAAGAGGAAATTGTGCAAATAATCACCCTATATTTACTATAATAAATATATACCTGGTAGGCTTTTTATAGTCTATATTGTGAGCACAAAAGAATTAACTCAAAAGGCTGCCTTGCCGTCTCTCAACACCATATTATATACCGGTTGCACACCCACCCACAAGCTACAGTGGATCTTTCCCCTGCACTTGGATATTAATTGGCTGTTGTAACGGCGAGCTCAGAAGCGACGGTTTTTAATAACTGGTTTGGCAAAGGGGGAGAATGAAACCCATTTGCCACGAGCATCGGTGTTCTCAACAAAGGTGATGGGGCGGGTTGCCTTTGGAATTCTAGGGCTGCAGAAGCATTTCTGAAATAAAAGAAAAATGGAATTGCACCGTTTCCTTTGATGTAAGTGCCAGCACTTCGACTTGCGTTAACTTTATTTATTACACAAATAAGACATTTACAAAGCACAACAGTAAAAGTAGGTAACAAAACAGACATTGGTTTTACAATTTAAAAAGTGCTTTACATCCCCCCCCCAATTTTCCCTCTCTTCTTAAATAAATATTGATCTTGACTGCCTGCTCTTTAGAAGGGTATTTTTAGCCAAGACATGCACAATTGCAACATGCTACAAACAAAACAATCTGCTTCTTTTTCAAGAAAAACTTGGCTGAGTTTCTGCAGCTGGCATCACCTTCCGAGACCTCCCTTTTATCTGGTATCACTGGTGTCCGAAGCCCCTGTTGCCCAGTTTACACCACAGTCCTAGGCACTCCTTGTTCTGGAGTGTGAAGCTAATCAAAGCAAGAAAGAGAGAAAGAAGAAGAAGGGAGGGAGGGAGGGAGGGGACATAGCTCTGGCTTCTGAAGAAGCCATGTCAGGTTCAACCTGCATCAGTTATGCAAATCAAGCATAATTTGCCTGATTCATTCTGGTTTTGCCAAGGAGGGGGACGGGGAGGGCTATGCATGAAAGTCTTGCCTTCCTTACTTCCTGGGAAGCATTCCTAATATGTGCCCTGCCTTCTAACGTTCTGCCAGATATCCACATTTCTAGCCTTAAGGGCTAGAAACCTTATATATCATTTTTTAAAAAAACAAAGCTGAGTTCCATGCCCAATACCAAGTTTTGTCTTTGTATGAAGTGCATCCAGCCCCATCTAGGCCACTGTCCGTTGTTGCAGCCTTGCGTTAAAATAGGATCGTTGGCCTATCTAGTGGGGACTCAAGTCACTGACTCTGGGGTAGGCAAGAAAGTACATGACATTTTAGCACCGATGCTTCAAATTCAAGTATTTCAAAAGACTTCCAATTAATTTTAGCCCAAAAGATTTGACACAGGAGAGGCACAGTCAGGAACAGTTTTGTAAATACCTTACAAAAGTGTAGCTGCCCATAGTCCAAGATGCCAGAGGGCTTCCAGTGATCATGTCGAGTTCCATGGGAGCAGAGGGCTTGCCTGTTCAGTTCAGTGTGACAGTCAAACAAATGGAGCAGCTGCAGCTTACATGGAGCTTCATCTGCAAGCATCAAAGCCACTGCATGCGTATCATAACCGTTGGATCAGGGTGAACATTGGCTTTCTTGCCCTGTAAAACTGTTTCGACAACTACAGAGTCAGCAAACTGAATGCAAAGAGCGTCTTTGCTCAGATTTGTTTGTTTGGACCTGGCATAAGACTTTTCCCAACACCATCAGTCAGTGTAAACACATTGGCTAACGAGAGTCAGTGGACTAAAATAATTAGGGGATGTGTTGCATTCTCAGGACAGTCGTTTATTTTCCATAGGCATCGTTTAACTAATTATGAATTGTTTCCAGTTTTTGCACGGCAGAGCCAAAAAGATTTCTCAAGTTTAAGAAGCTGGTCCTGGCCGCTTCCTGAGATTTGCAAGGAACACAGCCTAAGGCTTCCTGCAGAGATGAGGAATAGGATTGGCGGGGGGGGGGCGGGGGGAGAGAAAGATTACAATACTCACTTTAGATATAACAGTTGACTGCAACTGTCTATTCTTCTGCACTGGGCTAGTCCTCACCTCTTAGCCGCTCGTACATAGTGTGCCTGCATGTTTTCTACTATAAGCAAAAGCAGCTTTGGGGGAGGGGCAATTTAAATTGAGAAAATGCAGGCTGTTGTGTTTTTTTAATGGGGAAAAAAAGCTCGCCCAGCACCAGACTGGCCCTGATCCAGTCTGCATCTTTGCAGTTGCTTTTACGTTTAAGAATAGTTATGGGAAATCCTAGGAAGGCCTGATGTGTGTGCCTGGTCTGCATCCATTCTTAAGATTGCAACTCTCTGCACACTTACTGGAGAGTGTGGAGCTCTGTTGAGCTTCTGAGGAAGGCTGCTTAGGACTGAGTTGCACAGTCAGTCTCTTCCCTCAGTTACCAAGTGCTACCACATTGAGCAATGTGTTCATGTTTGGTTTCAAAGGCGCATGAGCAGTCCTAAGTGGCAATATGCCCTACCAGCAGAGGGGACAAAGATCTTGTGCATTCCTGCATCCCCAACAGCAGATCTGCTGCTGGGTGCAAGGCAGCCACGGAGACAGCTGCTTCAGCCATGCCCAGATAGGACTGCAGTCCTCAACCAGAAACTCAGGAACCATTCCGGAAAAGGAGGACACGTCCCTACCCCACACCCGGGCACCCTCATTCTTACCTTTAAGATGCTAGTCTGAGCTGGCCCCTGCTCCAAACTCCCACTGGTAAAAGCCTCAACCACAGAGATCAAAACCACTGAAATGGTGGACCAACCCAGCTTGGCAACACTGCAGTGACAGGGAAACCTGTGCCTTTGCCTTTTGAGCCAGCAGCCCAGGAGAAGCCCAGCCTCAGGGAAGGAGGCTAAGGGAACAATCAATTCTAACTGGGAGGGGTGGTAAGTAATTGCTCATGGACTTGTTCCCAAGGAGTGGCTCTGGCACTGCATACATTTTGGATGGATGATAAAAGAGGGAGGGAAATGGATCTACGGGAGGGCAATGATTTTTTTTGACAGAGGGCTAGTTTGCACTGGCACCAATGTATCATCCAGCAGCCATCTATTTATGGTGAAGCAGAGCTTGAGACTTTGGCGAGCTCCTGCCAATCAGAGTAAGACAGTACTGTGCTTTGTATAGGGGAGGAGATATCAAGCTGAAATTCCAGGTTTCATCATCACCATAATTATCCATTTATTTCTGTAGTATAATACACTTTAGCCAAGGCCCCCCAAGTGGTAAACAAATAGTTTTTGCAACACTAAGAATCCCAGGCACCTGTTCATTGCACAGCTGTTAAAAAGTTTGGTGCTGACACCAAGGAATAGTCAAATATTTTCTCAGTTCTGTGCTGGGACCTAGACCCTGACAACTTGATTGTGGCTCCTAGGAATTGGGAAGGTTTTGATTCCACAAACGCACACACCCCCTGATGTTGGGTGGTGACTGGGTTGGAAGTGTGTGTGGCGCTTGGATAGAACTCTCCTGACACAGATAGCCCACGTTGGTGTTCAGAGCTGCAGACCCCCTGCCTGTCAAAGGAGTAGGTGGGCATGTTCCCTACAGGGAAGGTCAAAGACCAGGTGGTTGTAAAGCATTTGATGACAAGCATTGAAAGATACAAGTCCAAAAGCATTGAAAGAAACAAGTCCACACAGTGCATGCTGTTGAAACTCTACTGAACTGAAGTCCTTGGTTTCTTCTGCCAGGGAGATGCGCTGCCTTGGAGTCTTTGAAAGCCAAACGGTTCCACAAGGGAAGTCACGGGCTCAGCGGTCATCGGGATTGTGCTGCAGAGCCGTAGAGATTCAGGTGCCGGATTCGTGGAAGGGGATCAGGAGTGCCACCACGGGTGGGTTACCGCAGCATGAGGGTCTGCAGTTGCTGTGGATTGGCTGGTGTGTATGATTCAGTGCCACCACCACCAAGTATCCCTGGGACGTCAGGAGGAGCAGGAGCAGTCAGTACTGGAAGAGGATGACCTGTCGGGAAAGCCATACAGAGGGACTCAGCAACACACAATTGGAGAACCCAGAGCTATGGTGGGGGCCTGTGCAACAACACAAAAGGGAAAGCTTCTCCACACCCCAGTCTACAGTGCCTCTTTCACCAACAGAGGGTCACTTTGTGCCCCTGAGCCACTCAAGACTTATAGGGACCTCCCCAATGTCATCCTGAGCCCTCTAGGCTGCTTGTCAGCAATGCCTCCCCCCGCGACATCTCTTCCTCTTAAAGAAAGTGCCAAACTGGTTGAGGGCCTCCAAGTGAATATACTGTGCTGTCCAACCACTCCTCTGTTAAGCAAGTTGTGGAATAGTAGCCCAGGATGGTAGCAGGGAGATGGTTGGGAATACAGTATATATGAGATTGACTGTGCGTGGGAAAGGTGACACCACGCCAGCTTGCAGGGGGAAGCCCAGCCACAAGGCAGGAGGCAGCAGTGGCCTCGGGCAATGATGGGTTGGAGGGCAGAGCCGTGTGCTTCATGCCTGCCCTTTCCCCCTCTCCTCTCCTCTCCCCTTCCCAGTACCTTGCTGCACTTAGTGTGGCAGTGCTGTCTCATCACCAGTGTTGAAGAAAGCTGCAGTCTGGTAGGCTGTCAAATATAGAAGGGGTTGGAATAGATGACCCCCGGGGGTCCCTTCCAACTTACAATTCTATGAAATGTGGAAAGAAATATGCCGTGAGCCACACGTGTGTCTGTGTGTAGAGGCAACAAGAAGCAAAGCTTAGAGCTTGTTGAAGGCTGCAGGGGTGGGGGTGGGGTTCAAGGTCTCTGCCCTTGGGGATTTTATGCAAGGAAGCTGATCTGCCACATTGCAGGAGGCACCAGCTGTTGGCCTCCACTTGTGCTCTGCTTGCGTATCTGAAAACAAAGCAAGAGTTGCAAATATTCCATAAGTCTTGGAATATTTGGTGTTGTCTCTTGGAGCTTCTCACCCCTTGGGCAAGGAGGTGAGCAGCTCAGAACAAACCACTGCTCCACCAAGCCCAGGACCTCTTATTCCAATTGACAACCACTCTCCCAAGGCTTCAGCTAATGAGGTCCTTTCCCAGTCCTGCTACCCAATATCTTAGAGATTGAACCAGTGGCCTCCTGCATACAAAGCATAATCCCCAGCACCAAGCTATGGATTCATCCCCATACACAAAGAAATCATACCAGTGGTCAGGGATGATGGGAATTGTAGTCCAAAAACAGCTGGAGGGCCAAGTTTGGCCATCACTGCTCTAGCTAGACTGGGTGGCTCTTTTGCATCGGATTGTGGGAATAGCGTTGCGGAATTGTGGAGGTGGGGCAGTGGGATGGGAGGTATGGAAGCAGCACTGGTTATTGCAGAAGTGAGACCACCTTTACCTTCTCCCCCCTACTCGACAGGGGTCCTTCCATGTCAGCTTTGAGATGCACAGGAGGGGCAGCATAAGGGAGGCGGCAGTGCATCTGTCCACACTGTACCTGACCTGTGAATGAGAAGGCAGCTTCGAGCCTTATTCTTTTGTGATCAAACAAAAAGCATTGCTGATGTGCTTTTGAGATTTCCGTGCCCCTTGGCTTCACAAGTGGAGGGCAAGGAGAGGAAGCCACAGGGCATGAGAAACACCAGCTACAAAAATATTGGTTTTAAGGAGAAAGCATGACGCCATGAAGTATTCTGTTCTCGGAAGGTTGGTATCCCAATTCTCCCAAAATATTTATCTCAAAGTACAGGGTGAGTCTTTTAAAGGACTCGCCCTGTATTTGTGCACCAAAGAGGGTTACAGTAGCCAAACATGACTTTCTCCAAGTGATTTTTCCCACCCACCTCAATACCTCGTTCTGCTGCATGTTCTGGTAACTGGTACTCCAGTCCCAGCTGTTGCTATCTCCCCATGCCATTGTGCACATGTGCGCATAGCTGTCAACATTTACCTTTTTTTAAGGGAAATCCCCTTATTCCAAATAGGATTCCTCGCAAGGAAAGGGAAAAGTTGACAACTATGCATGTGCAGTGCCCAAAAGACACAGTGATAGTCCCGCACATGTGAGAGGTCATGAAAGGCAGGTAACAGAGGGCACCTTGAGTTGCACCTGGCTTAGTTGTGTGAGATAGGAGCAGGATTTCAGATCCCTGTGAGGAGCAACGCAAGCCTTATGGAAACCCAATAAGCAAACGGGGGGGGGGGGGTTCATCCTCATCAAAGGCACCTCCCTCCACATTTAAATTCCATCCTTTTGACAGGGTCAGTTGGTTTGTTTCATGGAGAGATTCTTGGTCACTCAACACCTTGGATCACAACAATCCTCTGTACCCTTCTTCACAACTTCATCCCAATTTATCCAGTGGAGCTCCTTACCTAGTCTAGGGGTGGGTAATCTTTTTCTCTCTCAAGATCCACACTCTCTTTGGAGTGAGCTCGGCAGGTTGAGGAGACCCTCTTTGCCAAGAGGTGTGAGAGCCATGAGTGAGAGCCAAGAGGCTCAGAGTTCTTGAAGGGCAAGGTGTGTCGGAAGAAGGAGCTACAGTACGGATACCACCATGAATGAACCTAAGAAGAGCCCCGATGGATCAGGCCAAAGGGGCCCCTTCTAGTCCGGCCTCCTGTTCTCACAGTGGCCACCCAGATGCCTATGGGAAGTCTGCAAGCAGGGCCCGAGCACACGAGTACTTTCTATCCTCCTGTGGAGGCCGAGCCAAGCCATGACGGCTTGTAATCATGGACAGTCCTCTCCTCCTCCACAAATCTGCCTGATTCTCTTTTAAAGCCCTCTAAGTTAGTGGCCATCACTGCCTCCTGTGGGAGGAAAGTTCCGCAGTTGGACTATGCGCTGTGCAAAGGAGTCCTTTCTTTTATCCATCCTGAATCTTCCAGCATCTTAGAGATATTTTATGTATTAAGTACAGTGGTACCTCTGGTTGCAAACGGGATCCGTTCCGGAGGCCCGTTCGCAACCTGAAAAGAACGCAACCCTCATCTACGGGTTGCAATTCGATGCTTCTGCGCATGCATGTGATGTCATTTTGCGCATCTGCGCATGCGTGCATGGCAAAACCCGGAAGTAACCCGTTCCGTTACTTCCGGATCGCCGCGGGACACAACCTGAAAATGCGCAACCTGAAGCAAACGTAACATGAGGTATGACTGTAGTATAGATATATGGGCTAAAATAAATCAATCTGTTGAGGGTTGTGGACCATAAGCTGGCACTGGTGAGGACCTAGGTCAGGCATAGGCAAACTCCGGCCCTCCAGATGTTTGGGACTACAATTCCCATCATCCCTGACCACTGGTCCTGTTAGCTAGGGATCATGGGAGTTGTAGGCCAAAAACATCTGGAGGGCCGGAGTTTGCCTATGCCTGACCTAGGGTCACTGGTGGCTGGGGTCAGAGGCCGAAGGGGACAGCTCTTCTCTCTCTCTCTCTCTCTCTCTCTCTCTCTCTCTCTCTCTCCCTCCCTCCTTCCCTCCCTCCCTTTTTCCGTACTTGCCACCCATATGAAATGAATCTGAGCGCCCTGTGAAATAAGGCCAAGGCTAACGGGCTGGAGGCTGCCCACTCCTAACACCTGTGTTTAGGATTGCAGCCTATTTAAGGTGTGTCACCTGCACCACCTTGCAGCATAGGTCAGTACTGATACCCCCATCATGCAAACTAGAGGATTGAGGCTAAGAGAGAGAAAAAGAGAGAGAGAGAGGTTTGTCTGGCTATTCCTGCAGTGATGAGACTTGAACCTAATGCATGCTACGTCAGCTTTCTCAGCCGCTACGCTGTTTTTAAGCGCGGCTGTCAACACTTACTTTCTATGTAGCTGTGCAAGGTCACCATCCTTGCACGTTCAGGATTGCTGAAGGGGGAATAGTGGATGTCGTCAGGCAACACCGAAGGGATGCGGGACTGGGAGCCTCCAGATGGGGGCACTGTGTGTTGGGGCGTGTGCTTTTTATGGCGCGCTCTGCAGTTCTGAAACCAAACCTGGAATGCAAGAGGCGTTTTGAGAGGGAGGCACAGCTGTGTTGATTTTGTAAAAAAAACAAAAAAAAAACTTGCTAGGTTTTACTCAAGAGTAAGGATAAAGGTAAAGGGACCCCTGACCATTAGGTCCAGTCGCGGATGACTCTGGGGTTGCGACGCTCATCCCGCTCTATAGGCCGAGGGAGCCGGCACACAGCTTCCGGGTCATGTGGCCAGCATGACTAAGCCGCTGCTGGCGAACCAGATCAGCGCACGGAAACGCTGTTTACCTTCCCGCCGGAGCGGTACCTATTTATCTACTTGCACTTTGACATGCTTTCGAACTGCTAGGTTGGCAGGAGCAGGGACCGAGCAACAGGAGCTCACCCCGTCGTGGGGATTCAAACCTCCGACCTTCTGATCGGCAAGCCCAAGGCTGTGTGGTTTAGACCACAGCGCCACCCGCGTCCCTAGTACTCAAGAGTAGATCTATTGAATTCAATGAACATGGCCCATTAAGTTCAGTAGGTCTGCTCTGAGTAAGACTTAGTTGAATACCGCTCCTGGTGCTTCTGTTTCACCCTGGTTGAGAATACATCAGAGGAAAATAGAAGCACAAAAATATATACCATTGATGGGCAAAAGAGGGGTCTTGGGGAGAAGTCAGGTTGATAGCAAAAAGGATGTCTGCAAGATGGAATCATAGATGTGTAGAGTTGGAAGGGGTCCAAAGTCAAAGTGTCATCTAGCCCAACTCCCTGGAGTGTCACATGACAGCAAGGCTACCGGAGAAAGTAACCCAAGCGGTCTGTTCCTCTTTCTCTGATATATCGGCTTCAGAATGGATGAGCTGGGCTCATCATCCTCTGTCACCACAGCCATTGCCAGAGTGTCTTACTACAGACCCACCTCAGGTCAATTAAACATTATTTTATGAGTAATAAATCAGACATTTTAGCATCTCATTCCTCCACCACCACCCTTTGTCTTTGTTTATTGAGTAGAGCATCCCGTGGACATTTTACAGTCTCCCCTACCTCCCCCTTCAAGCTAATTCAGAATTTTGGGAAAGCTTGCAGTACAGCTTACCTGGAATGGCATAATTCCTACTGCTGGAGAGGGTCATGTTTTTTGAATGCACCCTTGCTGTTTAAAATACATGCACATACCCTGCATTTGGAAAGTTAGCTCTTTAGGGGGAAAGGTCCCCCCCCCCCCGCCATGCTAGAATCCTCTGCAGTTCTTGCCACTGGGAAGCATTAAAATATTTCCCAGTCCTGAGAGTTTGTGATTATGATTATAAACGGCCTCGGCCCAGTATCCTTGAAGGAGCGTCTCCAACCCCATTGTTCTGCCCGGACACTGAGGCCCAGCTCCGAGGGCCTTCTGGCGGTTCCCTCCCTGCGAGAAGCCAAGTTACAGGGAACCAGGCAGAGGGCCTTCTCGGTAGTGGCGCCTTCCCTGTGGAACACCCTCCCACCAGATGTCAAAGAGAAAAACAACTGCCTGACATTTAGAAGACATCTGAAGGCAGCCCTGTTCAGGGAAGTTTTTAATGTGTGACATTTTGATGTATTTTTAATCTTTGTTGGAAGCCGCCCAGAGTGGCTGGGGAAGCCCAGCCAGTTGGGTGGGGTACAAATAATTTTATTATTATTATTATTATTATTATTATTATTATTATTATTATTATTATTAAGAAAGCACTCCATGCTTTTCCTTACCATTTGCACTAGCTCTTCCTCAAACCTGCATTGCAAGAGGTTGGACTAGATGAGCTTTTGGGTTCCTTCCAACTCTAAGATCCTATGAAACTGCTAGCTTCCCTGTACCTTTTCCTTCCACAATCCTTTGCACGGGCCATTTCCTCCACCCCACCCTGCTCCTTTCGGTTCCCTTACAGCATCTCCGTTTCTGGGTAATACTCTGAGACTGTCACCTCCGTGGAATGTTGGCAAACCCCCCACCCCCACCCCGCCCCACCCACAATTCAGGGAACCAAACGAAAACAGGGTCTGAGATGCCCATAGCACCTGGTTGCAAAGCTTCCGTAGGCATCCTGCGGGTTGGCGTAAGAGACCAAGGAGCTCGGCTAGATGGATCTTTTGGTCTGATGCAGACGGGTGGTTTTGGTGGCCCACAGGGCAAGTCCTTTTGGCCACCAGTGCTGCGCTCAGAGCCTCACCTGTATCACTCTCCTGCTCAGCCCTGTCATGTCTGCCAGCTTTTGAAGGGTCTGTGCGTCTGGGTTGTTGTCCTGAGCGAATTGTGCTTGCATGACCTAAGAGGAGGACAATACTCAAGAGTAACCCAGGCATGTCGCCAGCATTCCTCCTCGTCCTGCATCCCACTACCACTCTTGAGAGAGCCCACCCGGCTCTCTACCTGTAGCTGCTCTGCGGTGAAGGAGGTCCGGGCTCTCTTTGCTGGTTTTGGCTGGCTGTCTTGCTCAGACGGGACCGCCCCTTCCAGTGTGATGCCATTACCTGCAAGAGAACAAAGGGTGACTCTGGTGCGTATTGGCCGAACGCTGATCTTCAGCTGGTGGGTCAGGACCTACGAGTACAGGGGTTCCCAAACTTTTTCAGGCTGCTGCCCCCCTGGTTCCACAAGCTCATCCTCAGTGCCCCCCTTCTGCACCCTGCCAAAAACATTTTTCAGAACAGCCGTTTGCACAATCCAAGTAAGGAGGAGAATAACACAATAAAAGTAAAAACAGTAATGATTAATTGCACATTTATTCAAAATCATTTGGCAAAATGGATGAACTTGATCCGGTGACATCAGCTTTTCAAAGTCTGATCATCATTTACACCCCCAGTGCCCCCTGCCACCCCCTTGCCTCTTAACACACACACACACACACACACACACACACAATTGCACTAGTGGGCTGAGGCTTGATACAAAGCAGGTAGCAACAGGAGCACTACCACGGTGCAATTATATGGTGAAATGTTAAGAAATGGATCCCAAAATGCATGTTTGGGTTAAAAGTGGGTCCTGGGTCTGAAAAGCTTCAAGGTACCTGGACAAAGCTATATGTGTGTGCTTTGGGCACTTCTCTCAGCCTGAGCTTGTTCATGAGGACTAGGCCCTTGACTGGGAAACTTGTGCATCTTTACCAACTCCTACACTGCTAACTGTTCTGGGCACAAGTACTGGTGATCCATTGTGGTTTTATTATTTGGGGTTTTTTTCCTTCTTATATTTTATTGCATTTATATTCTACCTTTTTCCTCCAAGGAGATTAAGGTGGTGTACATGGTCCCGACCTTCTCATTTAATCCCCACAACAACCCTGTGAGGTAGGTTGGGCTGAGACACAGTGACTGGTCCCCAAGGTCACCCAGTGAGCTCAATGGCTGAGTGGGGATTTGAACCCTGGTTTCTCAGGTCTTAGTGCAACACACTTAACCACAGCCCTAAATGGGTATATATAGATGGAATATCTACCTACCACATATTCTCACCCAAATTTGCCAGTCATCACCAGATCCTACCACCACCTAAAAGACCTAGCTTATTAGACGATCCAGTTCCTTCCCCTCCACCATCAGCACCCCGCCAGTCATTTATTTGGGCATTTCCTCCTCATATTTCCCCATCAGCAGCTACAACAGCTTTAATGAGAGAAACAGAAGTGGAGAAAGGATATCCTTGCTGCTCCGGTCTGCATGGGTGATCCTTTTCCACCCAGCGTCAGTTTGCTAATGAAAGCCAGGTCCAGCTCATTGTTGGCCCGTTTCCCAATGTTCAAGACAAGATGGTGGGTTGCCGAGAACACAGCACTCCCACATCAGCTGCTATCAAGCACAAGCTCTCCTCAACTTTTTGCTTTCTCCGGGATCCTAGTCACTAAGCTCCTCTTTTACATCCAGCAGCTTACAATCCCTTGCAGGCTCTGTATGGTTCCCCCACCTTCACCAGTCAGATTGACCTTTCACTTTCCTCACAGAAGCTGCACTGTTGATCAAGATTCCACAACTGCCCCAGCCACACATAGGATGCTCAAGAATATTCTGTGCAAAGATACCCACACAAAGAGAGAGAAAGCCACTGCTTCAGAACCCACAGGCATAAGTCGCATTGGGGGTTGTAACAACAACAACAACAACATTTTCATACCACCCTTTATCCAATGATCACAGGGCGGTTTACAATATAAAAACACAAAAATACACAACATAGTAGCAAGCAAAAACAATACTTCTAGACACACACTGTTTAAAAGGCTATAGATTGTTTAATTAGCCAAAAGTCTGGGAGAAGAGGAATGTTTTTGCCTGGCAACTAAAAATATGTAACAAAGGAGCCAGGCAAACCTTCCTGGGGAGAGCATTCCACAAACGGGGAGCCACTGCAGAAAAGGCCCTGTTCTCATGTTGCCACCCTCCAGACCTCTCATGGAGGAGGCACACAAAGAAGAGTCTCAGATGATGATCGTAGGGTCTGGGTCAGTTCATATGTGGAGAAGCGGTTCTTGAGGTATTGTGGTCCTGAGCTGTTTAAGGCTTTGTAGGTCAAAACCAGCACTTTGGATTGGGCCCAGAAACTGATCGGCAGCCAGTGAAGTCAGGGCAGGATCAGCGTTCTGTGCTCAAACCACCTTGCAAGGGTGAGCCCATTTATTCGGTGGCTCTTGCAGCCACCGACTCCAGGGTCACAATGGTTAATTCCTGTGTTTAGCCATATCTTCTGAGTGATGACAGGGACTCGAGTCTTAACGCAGACGGAGACTCTAGCAACTGTGGGAACCCTTTTGCAGCTTTGGTTAGGCTCCTCACCCTCCGAGATATTCAGTTTGGAGGCAAGATTTGGGATGTGATTATCTTGGCCCCAGTTGAAGGAATTTTCTTCTTTTTTAACAGTTTGACTCGTTGTTGCAGGATGATTAATGGGGCTCAGCCTCAGCAACATGTGTTTATTTTCCCTTCTCCAGAAAAGCCTTGCAACACAGGCGAAATCGCTTTGCGATTCCCAGAGGAAACGTACATGCCAAATGGAATTGCCGCTTGCGCTTTTCGTGTCCCCTCCCTGGAGCAAGCAGGAAGGCACACCCCACCCACAGCTGCCACCTGGCCTCTGCCCACCATCTGCCCTCCAAGCTGACATCTCCCTCTTCGGGGAATCAGCATCCTGAGCCACAGGAAGGGCTGGCAGGGCAGGGCAGGGCCTATCCTGGGCCGTGATGCAGACAGCGGGAGCCACAAACTACACCTTGAAACTGGGACGGCTTTGCTTCAGAGACAGAATGCCGAAGCAGTGACTGCATCAGCTGGGACTTTGGTTGAGCCAGGCTGAAGCCCCACACAAATTCAGCCAGCAGAGCAGCAGGGAGGGGAGTGTGACGCAGGCAGGGCTTTATACAAATCTGTGGCACAACAAAACTTGGAATCATCTTCTTCTTTGGCGATCACTCATAGCCGAGTAAGATTGTCTTCCATAAACCCAGTTTATGAGTTCTGATTGCCAGAACTCAAAAAAGTCCATTGTAGAGCTGGACAACAAGGGGGGGGGCAACAAAAATTATCTAGGGACTGGAAGAGGAATTCGTCACGATGACGAAAGGAAGCAACATTTGAGGCTTGTGTACAAAGTCATGCACAGGGTGGGGAAAATGGACTGAGAGGGGCATTTTGTCCCTCTCTCAGATTACTAGAAACAAGCTGGATGGCCCGTCCCGTAGAATTCTAAGTGTTGGTGCTAACTTTTAAAGCCCTAAACGGCCTCGATCCTATATATCTGAAGGAGCATCTCCACCGCCATCATTCAGCCCGGACACTGAGATCCAGCACCAAGGGCCTTCTGGCGGTTCCCTCACTGCGAGAAGTGAGGTTACAGGGAACCAGGCACAGGGCCTTCTCAGTAGTGGCACCCGCCCTGTGGAACGCCCTCGCATCAGACGTAAGGCAATAAACAACTATTTTACTTTTAAACAACACCTGAAGACGGCCATGTTTAGGGAAGTTTTTAGTGTCTGACGCTGTATTGTTTTTAATATTTGGTTGGAAGCTGCCCAGAGTGGCTGGGGAGATCCAGTCAGATGGGCGGGGTATAAATAATAAATTATGATGATGATGATGATGATGATGATGATGATGATGCAATGCTGGGCATTTTAGGGCAGAAAGTGCTTTTTCGCATAGCACACAGTTAAGCTATGGAACTGGCTGATGGCCACACAACTTGGATTGCTTAAAAAGAGGATTAGACAAATTAGTGGGGAGACACAAGCCAGACACAAATGCATTAACCCCCCTCCCCCCCATTGCTGCCCAGCCACTAGTATTCAGAGGCAGACTGCGTCAGGACATGGAGGCTCAATTTATCCGCCAAACCTAATAATAGCCACTGGCAGATCTGTCCTCCGTGATTTCTTGAATCCCCTTTTGAAGCAAAGAGGGAGTTCCTTTCCAGCTCCCAGATGAAATTACCCATTAGTCCTTGAGCAGGAGTAAAAACAACCAACCAACTCCCCCTCCCCCCCAATCCCCAAAACAAAACAACAATATATATTTCAAGTGGGGGGGGTATCCCAAAGATCATTGGTGTCTGAGAAGACAGAGTTCACTAGATATGGGGGCCAGCAAAACCTTTGTCATTTCTACACCACCAGACATTTCGGGCAAAACACGACAGAAGACAAAAAGAGGAAAAACCCAAACAGAACAGGCGCACGCACACCCCACTCCATGGCAGTGAAATGAACTGAATTTTTGCCACTGTGCTGCTCTTAAACAAAATTCACGTGGAATGCCTCACCTTGGCCCTGTATGTGACTCTCATCATGTCTGAACCTGGCAGCCTCTAAGGACAAGACGCCTGCAGCTTTGTTGCTTGCTATGGGGCAGCCCTTGCTAGAGGAGATGGGAGAGCTGCCTGCCTTTGTACAGCCACGGCCTGATACTGACCTGTGTGCCAAACCTATTTGATGCCCAAAACTCAGGGGAATGGCACCACCCTCTCATTATTAGGGTGTGTTCAAATTGATGGCTTAGAGCGCAGAGAATTTGTGTGTCCCATAGTGCTCTTTCTCCCCTCAGCTGTTCACACCAGCATGGCTTCCTTAGTGTCAGTTTCATTACTGTTCGTGTACATTCCAGCGGGGGGGGGGGTTGACGGGGGGGGGGGATGCCTTTGCCCTATGCAGGGGTGTTCACGCCTTGGCTAGAGATCAATTAGAAACAGCTTCAGGACTCCAGTTGGTGTGAAGCTCATTTACATAATCATAGAACTATATACCGTATTTTTTGCTCTATAACACGCACCCAACCATAACACGCACGTAGTTTTTAGAGGAGGAAAATCCGTAGGCATGCCACCCGTAGGCATTCCCTCCATAACACGCACAGACATTTCCCCTTACTCTCTAGGAGGAAAAAAGTGAGTGTTATGGTGCAAAAAATACGGTAGTTAGAAGGGGTCCCTGAGGGCCAGCTAGCTCGGGGTCAGCAAACTTTTTCAGCAGAGGGCCGGTCCACTGTCCCTCAGACCTTGTGGGGGGCCAGACTATATTTTGGAGAGAGAAAATGAACCAATTCCTATGCCCCACAAATAACCCAGAGATGCATTTTAAATAAAAGGACACATTCTACTCATGTAAAAACACGCTGATTCCCGGACTGTCCGCAGGCTGGATTTAGAAGGCGATTGGGCCAGATCCAGCCCCTGGGCCTTAGTTTGCCTACCCATGATCTAGCTCAGGGGTCCCCAAACTAAGACCCGTGGGCCGGATAAGGCCCGAGGGACTCATTTATCTAACCCACGGCAACCCCACTGCCGCTGCCCACTCTTACCGGCGCTGTGTGGCTGCCCGCTTCCAGGTCAGAGGAGCACCGGAAATAGCTTGTGCGCATGCACAAGCATTATTTGTGCATGCACAAGCATTATTTCCGGTGCACATCCGAGTCGAAGGAGGCCCGTGCACATGCCCACAAGCTATTTCCGGTGCTCCTCCGACTCAGAATGCGCCAGAAATAGCCTGTGCGCACACGTATGGGTACGCGATCCCCCACCCTCCAGCCCGCCACACGATCGACGCTGGAGACACCAGCCCGATGCACAGTAAGTTTGCTGACCCCTGATCTAGCTCAATCCTCTGCATGCAGGAATCACACCTAAAGAATCCATGGCAGACAGTCATCCAACCTTTGCTTAGAAACCTCCAATGAAGGAGAGTCCCCACTTTCCGAGGGAGTCTGTTCCACTCTTGAACAGCTCTAATCTTCCTACTGTTAATCAGAATCTCCTTTCCTGCTGTTTCAATCCATTGGTTCAGATCATACCCTCCAGAGCAGCAGAAAACAAGCTTGCTCCATCTTCCATATGGCAGCCCTTCACATATTTGAGACCCAACCACATCAAATACTGTCATACCTCGGGTTACAGATGCTTCAGGTCGTGTTTTTTCAGGTTGTGGACCGCCAAAACCCAGAAGTACAAGAACGGGTTACTTCCGGGTTTCGGCGGTCACGCATGCACAGAAGTGCTAAATTGTGCTTTGTGCATGGGCAGACATGCTGAATCGCAACCCGTACATGCACAGACACACCGCTGCGGGTTGCGGACGCTGCGAGTTGCGGATGTGCCTCTCGCACAGATCTCGTTCGCAACCCAAGCATTCCACTGTGGCAGCATCTCATAACAAAGTGCAGGCTACAGATGCATTTATTATAATGTAGTGTGAAGTCAGATTAAAAACCCAGTTGAGTGCCCAGTAACCAGGAGTGTGAGCACAGCCTTACTCTTTGTTTCTTGACCTGTAAGGTAAGTCACTCAGATTCCCCCTTCTGCAAACAAGAGGCTGAAGGTCAAGGGAGATCCCTGTTTGCTTGAGCAAGGCCACCCAGCAAGCTTCCCTAGCCCAGAAAGCGCCTGAACCCGGGTCCAAGTCTAAGCCGCTAACAAGCCGCTGGACCACACCAGCCCAGGACACGCCACAAATGAGCGCCTCAGACGCCCACCCCCTTCCCAGCTCACTCCTGCATCTTGGTTTGATTTTGTTTTCATCTCCTCGCTTAAACCTTGTAAACAGAAACACGGATTATTTTCATTTTGAGATCTCTCCCCTTCTCTGAAATCGTTTCCATCTGCAGCCCAAGATGGCCTGTTACATACGCCTCTCCCCCCCACCCCCCAGTCTCACATTTTCTCAGAAAAGAAAAATCAGACAACTTCTTAGCACTTGGGCAAAGTTTTATCTCTTGGGAATCACACACACATTACTTTGGAGGAGGAGGAGGAGGAAAGCACCCGGTCTGAAGAGGACCACATGGGACCCTTGTTTGAGTGCTGTTCTCTTTCCTCCTTTGTTCAAAGGCCTGAAAATCCACTGTCTTGAAGAAGGGAAATGTGGGGGTCCTGAAAAACCCATGTGCATTTTCCCAAAACAACTGGTCCCACACATAAGCACGGAATCTTGTATCCAGCACAGAACCTCCTATAAGAATGATTTAAGAACAAACAGAATCAGGCTCTATGTTCGTATTATCAATATGCAAAGTTGATGATGCAGAACTACTTTGTAAAACTCTTATTATATGATTGTTGGTTGTGGATATATTGATTGTTACCCAGCGATGGAGAAATACGTCACACTTTCCCCTTCATATTTGGTTTCAGAAGACCCTACATATTTCAATTTCAGAAAAGCTGACTCATTCAATGCGTATTTCACCTGCCAAGCCAATTGACTGTGTTGCCATGTGGTGGATGTTTTTGATGTACATTAAGATACAAAGTCATGACTGGCAGGTTCCCACCAAATTTGGCTTTATTTGGTACTGATTACATACTGATATGCATTATTACTAGCCCTCTCCATTCTGCAAGAACAATAATCTTATTTTCTTGTCTTACTTTAGATTGAACCTCTTCATGTTCTACTGTCATATCCAACCATGTACTGTGGATCTATAATAGCAAGTCACCACCTGCCTCTGTGTTTTGTTGTAAAATATCTTGATTACTTAATGAAGTTCACACACACACACACACACACACACACACACACTGGAAATGACTACATAAACAGGTTCTGTGCAGCCACAGATTCACAGGCAGTTCTGCACAATCCACAAGCACACCATCTCATGTTTTCTTTTTGTTGTGAGACAATCATCCATGGATATTGTTGTCAATCACAAGGCATACCCAAGACTTGTGTGAGATGCTTTGTTGAAAAACATTGCTCTCTCTAACTAGATCATAAATGTTAAGATTTGTTAAAAGGAAGAGGCAAGGAGGTCATGGTGGTTATTTAAAACCACCGTGATAGAAGCTTGGATGAAATGTTCACCATGGATTAAGAAAGATGGGACCAATCCAAAAGAATGCTAGAGTGGTTAAAAAGCAGTGTCAAGAAAGCTATAAAAGGCAAATGAGCTTGCTTTAGGAAGTGTGAGTCCTGTCCAATAGGGAGAAGCACATACTTTGGTGATACAAATGAACGTTGAGATAGTAAGGCAACTTCTAAGAAGTGGGAAAGCTAGAAAATCCATTGCATTGAGCACAAGTCTCTGTACATACACAGATATCAGCTGTGTGTACTTCAGATACCTACAGATCTAGTGCCCAAGCACAGAATCCAGATCTAAAGAGTATATTGCTAAAAACAGTAAGAAATGTATGCAAATCAGAGGCAGGAGAGCATCTGGGAAGACTGTTTACAAAGATGTGAAAGGCTTACTGACAGAGAATAAGGAGTTGACAGATGAGTGAATTTACATTTATCTCCACTGTAGAAGAAGGGCAAGCAGGCTTTAGGCTTGTCAGACTTACTTTGCATTTTTCTTTACTAGAAACTCAAGATCTAGTAGAAAAGACATATTAGTTAGAATGAAAGAGCAGGATGCCTCGGGACATACTTTAAGCCTAGCAATTTGTTTTCAATACTGGAACTAAACTGAGTGCACAATCCATTCACAAAAGAATTATGACAAAAGTTATGACAATTTGCTCCTTAAGGAGGATAGAGACACTTAGTTGTTGCTACACATTAAACAATTGGGAGCCAGAAACAGCTCAATTGGTAGAGCATGAAACTCAATCTCAGGGTTGTGGGTTCCAGCCCCATGTTGGGCAAAAAGAATATAAGAACTACTTGCCGGATCAGGCCACAGGGGCCCCATCTAGTCAAGCACCCTGTTCTCACAGTGGCCAAGCAGATGCCCCAGTGCAAAACCAGGACCTGAGCACGAGCCACACTCTTCCCCTCCTGTGGTTTCTAGCATCTGGTATTCAGAAGCAGTGCTGCCTCCCTCTGTAGAGGCAGAGCCAAGCCGTGGTGACTGCCAGCCATCAATAGCCCTCTCCTCATCCATTAACCTGTCCAATCCTCTTTCAAAGCCATCACTGCCTCCTGGGGTAGCAGGTTCCTTAGTTTGTGCTGCATGAAGGAGGACACTATTTTATCCTTCCTGAATCTTCAAACTGCCCACCTTCATTAGATGTCCACAGTTCTACAGTGGATAACAGTACAGGTCCTCTTCTGGTTGGGTGACTAATTAAAGAACAGAGGAGAAGAAGAGAGGAGGGATAGATGGGTAATTCTCAGTTGCAGTGGAGGATGGCAAGCGGTGGAGTTCCCCAAAGATCTGCATGGAGCTCCAAAAGAACATCTCCACACTGAGTGGGTGGGCAAAGAAAGGGGAAAGAGTTCAATGTAAGTTCAAACAGCAGCTGATGCACAAACCCTAACTTCGCATATCATGCACCAACAGAGTCTGAGTCACTGAGGTGACTGGGAACCTCAGTAGTGGGGTCCCCTTCATTGGAGGTTTTTAAGCAGAGGTTGGATGGACATCTGCCAGGGATTCTTGAACTGTGATTCCTGCATTGCAGGGGGTTGGACTAGATGGCCCTTAGGGTCCCTTCACAATCTGCAGTTCTATGATTCTACGGTAGCTTGATGAAAATGTTGACTTGGTGTGTGGCAAGCAACTGTGAAACGGTGACTCCCCTCCGAGGAGCCAGTCAGAAAGGAGGTTGAAAATAAAATTTCAAATGCTGAAATATTGCGCTGTGGCTTATTTCGGAATGCCATGTTTCTGCTGCCTGTCTCAAAACGGTTTTGTAAAGCTCTCAGAGGGCAACTAAAATGATCAAGGGGCTGGAGCCACTCTCCTATGAGGAAGGGATACCAGGACGGGGTATTTTAATTTAGCGGGGAATTGAAAGGAAGTGCATAAGAGAGGTGAATAAAATTATTAATAGTGTAGAAAGATATTCATTCCCCTTGACCTTTTATAGAACATAGGAAGCTCTCTTATACTGCGTCAAACAATCTAGTTCAGTACAGTCATACCTCAGGTTGCGAACATGATCCGTGCGGGAGGCACGTTCGCAACCCGCAGCATTCGCAACCTGCAGCGCCGCATCTGCTCATGTGCACGACGCAACTCAGCACTTCTGAGCATGTGCGTGATGTCATTTTGTGCTTCCGGGTTTGGCGTGATCTGCAACCCACAGCATTCATAACCTGAGGTATGACTGTATTGTCTACACCCTACAGCAGCCTTTCTCAACCTGTGGGTCCCCAGATGTTGTTGAACTACAACTCCCATCACCCCTAGCTAGCAAGGCCAGAGCTCAGGGATGGTGGGAGTTGTAGTCCAACAACCTCTGGGAACCCACAGGTTGAGAACCGCTGCATCTACAGGTTGGCAGTGGTTATTCAGACAGGGAACTGTCAAGCCCTATCTGGAGACACCCGCTACCACCCTAAACTCAGAGGTGTCTACTGAAATGGGTTGGCCAAAAATAATAATAATAAATCAGAACACCCCAAATAAACCCACATTGTGGATAATTAACCTGTGGAAATTACTGCCACAATATTAGATTGTGGTCATTGCCTTAGATGGCTTTATAAGTGGGCCAGAGAAGTTCATGGAAGAGGTCTATCAATGGCTGCTAGCCATTGCAGGTAAACGTGCTCCAGGTACAGCACTGAAAGCCAGCTGGTGGGAGGGAAACAGTAGGGAGGGTTGCAGCCTTTGTGCCCCACTTCTGGGCTTCGTGAATGCACATCTGTTTGGCCACTGTTGGAAACTTGATGGCGGACCAGATGGGCTTTTGGTCTGATGCCACAAATGGCTCTTCTGACAAGCATATAAAGATCGTGCTATGTTTATGCTGCGCTTTTAAAAGTGTGGCATGAATTAGCAACCGTCCTACGGCAGGAGTAGCTGAGGCTCCAGGCATGTATCCGAATTCTGACACTTTGTGAGTTTGCAACTCAGAGCTGTTGAGAAGGATGGCTCCTCTGCAGCGTTCACCAGAGCGTCTCAGATATGCTTCCTCAGGGCTCATGTGAAGGACTTCCCTTGGAAAGCCTTGCTGCGGGTCAGGAGAGGTTGCCTGCGGTTTGCCAGAGACTGATTTGACTGGTCGCAGCGCAGGTGGGACTCACTGGTAGGCTCAGGGCCGGATTAGGTTTGATGAGGCCCTGAGCTACTGAAGGTAATGGGGCCCTTTATATGTCCAGCTGTCCTTTGTCAACAACAAATTGTCGCTGTTTTTGGTGTTGAATATATGCTAATTTATGGACCTAATAGGTATCTAAAGCCATTTGCACATAAAATATGCATTTTATCAAAGTGCCGTATTTTTCGCTCCATAAGACACACCTTGTTTTTAGAGGAGGAAAACAAGAAAAAAAATATTCTGAACAAAACAGTGGATGTATGATTTTTGTGGTTCATGCTGTGGCCACAGACATCTGCTTTGACGGTGAGTTTGGGGTTGTTGTTGTTCAGTCGTTTAGTCATGTCCGATTCTTCGTGGCCCCATGGACCAGAGCACGCCAGGCACTCCTGTCTTCCACTGCCTCCCGCAGTTTGGTCAAAGAGTTTAGGGTAGCCCAATGCAAAAATCCTGAGAACAGTGGGTGCATGATTTTTTTGGTGCAGGCTGTAGCCATGGACATGCTATGTGATCAGGTGGTGAATTTGGGGTGACGCAATGCAAAAATCCTGAGGATCCATGTGGATCCATGCTTTGTAACCACGTTTTTGCGCCATTGCGGCCTCATACAACAGTGGGTGCATGATTTTTTTGGCGCAGGCTGTAGTCATGGACATGCTATGTGATCTGATGGTGAATTTGGGGTGACCCAATGCAAAAATCCTGAGGATCCATGGGCTTCCCTTATCTTCCTCCTGATCGCTTGCCGATTAGCTGCTTCCTTTCAACACCCCCTTCCCTCTTGTTTGCCTTAGTGTCTTTTCCTTAGCTGGAGCAGTTTTTTTGCTCCTCCTTTTCTTCTAATTTCTCTCCTCATTGCTTTAACCTTCCTGTCTCCTCTCCTTGCAAGTTCATTGTCTTTACCTCCCTCCGCCCCCAGGCAGCCTCCTTTATTGCTAGCGTCCCTTATCTCCCTCCCCGATCGCTTGCCCATCAGCGGCTTTGTTTCAACACCCATTTCCCTCTTTCAAAAAAAAAAACCATGATCTGCTTTTCACTCCTGGGCAATTTAGCTCCAGGGACCACGCATTCGCTCCATAAGATGCACAGACATTTCCCCTTACTTTTTAGGAAGAAAAAAGTGTGTCTTATGGAGTGAAAAACACGGTAATTGTTGAACTGAAATACAGTTAAGAATAAGTATATTAATAGTGAAATAATTATTATGCTCTAACTGTATGTAGGTTTTATTTTATTTGTTTTTTATCTCATATTTTGGAAATGTGCATCCAGGTGTTTTTTCCTTTAAATTTTTAGGGGCCCCCCAAGAGAGTGGGGCCCTAAGCTATAGCTTGTTTAGCTTATATCCGGCACTGGGTAGGCTTCAGGCACGCAGACAGCATGTAAGTGTGAGCTCCAGGGAGGAAGAAGACTTCTCCTTCCATCTCAAAAGAACACTGGCTCTGGAAGCAGATTAGAAATCCCACCTACAGTTGCAGCTGAAATTCTTCAACTCCAAATCAGGTTTCTGATCAAAATCTACAGACTTTCCACTGTCTGCAAGGAGCGAATCCCACCAAAGCCATGCAGATAGCTCCGTACAACGGATGCTTCAAATGGTTCCCCCAAATTCCGCTGAAAATGCAACTTATAGTGAGGCTGGAGAAGCAAGGTGAAGTGGACTTTTTGGCTGAATTTCACCTGATTTGCAATTGGAGTTGAATAATTTCAATTGCAGCTTTATTTCCAAGGGGATGTCTGTCACAGACACACGCAGTTCCTCTGGCAGTAGCAGAAGGTGGTACCAACTTTTGCCAGGCAGGTTTTCAATTGTGTGTTCCTAGTTCCAACTCGGGAATGGCTATTCACCAATCTTCTAAAACTGTCGGACTTAACCATTTCCGTATCATTCTGCCTGCCTCTGTAGGTCAGGATGAATTGGGCTGTTGGTCCCATTTGCTTAGTATCATCTTGGCAGCGGCAGATTCCACGGAGGAAGATGCTTGCTCTCTTCCCCCTCCCTCTCCCTTGCCCTCCTTTTACAGGAGCACTCGTGATATTGCTGGTTTCCCCAAGAGCCGAGTTTGTTGGAAGGAAGCCATTCCTCCCATCTTGTCCTCTGCCTCAGATGGCAAAATGTTTTGAGCCGGGCCTTACATTGGAATCGCTCAACCAGTAGAGGGGTCAGCAAACTTTTTCAGGAGGGGGCTGATCCACTGTCCCTCAGACCTTGTGGGGGGCCGGACTATATTTTTGGGGGGAGGAATGAATGAATTCCTATGCCCCACAAAGGACACATTCTACTCATATAAAAACATGCTGATTCCCATGCTGATGTCCGTGGGCTGGATTTAGAAAGTGATTGGGCTGGATTTGGCCCCCGGACCTTGGTTTGCCTACCCATGCAGTAGAGCATGAGACTGTTAACCTCAGGGTCATGAGTTGAAACCCCACATTGGGTAACAAGATTTCCTGCATTGCCAGGGGTTGGACTAGATGACCCTTGTGGTCCCTTCCAACTCTGCAATTCTATGATTCTATGACCCTTCCAAGGAAAACTTCCCACTAGTTACATTTTAAAAAGCTATACTAAGTCAGATCCCTGGTTCCACTAGCCCAGTATAGTCCACCTTAGCTCATCAGGGCTTCAGGCAGAAGTCTTTGGCCACATCCCAACCACACATTTAAAGCTTTCTCATACCCCTTTTACAACCATGGGGAGAACCTTCCCCAAAGAACCTTGGGAACAGTAGTTGTTAAGCGTGTTGGGAACTGTAGGTCTGTGGGGCCAGCACCCTTCCCAAAATGACAGTCCGCAGGATTCCCCACGACAGTGAGAGAGGCCTAAGAGTTCCCAACTCTCCCTAGGAATTCCAGGAACTGGTCTTGAGACCTTCTGCACGAAGGACAGGTGCGTTGCCCGCTAAGCTGCAAGCCTTCCTCTCTGAAAGTGGCCGGCTGGCATCTCTTTGTGACTTGGGTTTTGGAGAGCCAGTGTGGTGCAGTGGTTAGAGTGCCAGAGTCGGACCTGGGTTCAAATCCCCACTTGGCCATGAAGGACACGGGGTGTGACCTTGGAGTGAGTCGCTGCCTCTCTCAGCCTAACCTACCTTGCAGGGCTATGGTGGGGATTACATGAAGAATGGGGGGGGGGCGGGACCATGTGACCACCTTGAGACCCTTGGAAGAAAAGGGGGTGCGGGTATAAATGCAATAAATAAATAATGAATAGTAAGCGCCAAATGGAAAATGGCAACCCTTGTCAGATACTGAATGCCATTGCATGCTGCCCACCAGATATCGTCGAGCAAGAAATAACGGAACAACAACAACAACAAAAAATAGTTTGCAAATATAGAGATCAAGTATTTGGTAGACTTCTGGCAAATATCTAGCACGTATCTGGAGAATATTCAACACCTAGAAACACATGGAGGCCAATTTTCGGAAGTCGACACATTTCCGCTCTGCTTAGTTATCCTTTGTGAGCTGCTTGGAGGGCAATGCATCTCTGCGCTTTTCTGTCGAGAGACATCAACCAGGATAAGTCCAGGGTTGAGAGGAAGGGATCACACCTCCTACCGTCTCACAGAGGGGGTAAGCAGGCATCCCGGGGGGGGGGCGTGTCCACCTACCATTCTCTGCTGCGCGCTTGAGGTTCTCAATCATGGTGTCATAGTGAATCCGGCACAGGACTTTCTCCTCCACCAGGCCAAACTCCTCTCCAGTTGACAGCTGACGTTTGCAGGAGAAGCAGGCAAAGCAGGCCAGGTGGTAAGCGTTGCCGCGGGCTCTCCTGACCCAGTCGCTGGCATAGATCTGCCTCCGGCAACGGGCGCATTTTGTACCAAACTGACTGCAAGGAGAGAGAAACACAGAGTGAAGAAGCTGGCAGTGATTTGGGTGCCTCCTGCTCACTCTTATGGCAAAAGCTGGCGCAACTTCTCGTACAAGACCACCAACCCTAATCTCAGCCCAGTAGGTCACACTACCTTTCAGACTGAAATGCTGAAACAGTAGTCTCAGGAAAGTGAATCCCCTGGGACAGTGAATCAAAAGCCAGTGTGGTGTAGTGGTAAGAGTACCAGACGAGGACCTGGGAGACCAGGGTTCGAATCTCTACTTCACCACCCTAGCTCACTGGGTGTGATCTTGGGCCAGCCACTGCCTCTCAGCCTAGCCTACCCCACAGAGTTGCTGTGGCCATGAAGTGAGAAGCAACAGAACCCGATGTACACTACCTTGAGCTCGTTGGAGAAAAAGGCGGGCTACAAATGCGACAAATAAGTAAATAAATAAATGTAGCAACAAAACCTTGGTCCAACAAAGAGATATAGCACACCTGTTCCTCCAGGTGACACCCACCTGGAGGAACCAGAGGGTATAGCTGGTCCTCAGAAAGCAGTCATGCTACATCGCCTGAAACTGTTTCACTGCCATTGGGAAAGAGCATTGGGAATCATAGCTTTTTGAAATGCTACAATTCCCAAGGTTCCATGGGGTGAAAGGTGGGTAGTGCTGATGCTTAAAGCAGCTCTCATTTATACCGTAGACCAGGGAAGGGGAACAGGTGGCTGCCCAAATGTTGACAAGCCACAGCTCCCATTATCCCTGATCCTTGACCATGCTGGTCAGGGCTGACATTGTGAAATGAAATCCAACAATAATGGGATACAGGTTTGCCACAGGTTGTGCATCGCTTCTGGTGACGTGCACTGGTGATCATTCTCCACTGTGCAGCGGAAATACACCTGTCCCTCCTCCCAGCCGAAACATGGCAGGAGTTCAATATTCCACTTGAGGGAACCTAACTCCTAACCTAGTGCAGACAATTGCTCCCCTTCAGTTCCATACTAAGGACTGAAAACATTCTACTGGCAGAGAAATCTACCTCCCTTTGCAAAGTAAGGGGGCATTCCACCATGACCCATCCATGTCTTGCTCATTCTTTGAGTCATCCTGGTAGCTGCCTTCCTTCTTCCTTGCAGATGAACATGAGTACATAAGAAGTGCCAGCCCAGCATCCTGATCTCACAGTGGCCAACCAGATGCTGGTGGGAAACCAGGGAGCAGGACCTGAGCACATGAGCCCCCTTGTTCTTCCCAGAAACTGGTATTCAGAAGCACTGCTGCCTCCAACTGTGGAAGCAGAGCATGGCCATACTGGCTTATCAATCGCCTTTTCCTCCTCCATGAATTTGTCCAATCCTCTTTTAAAGCCATCCAAGCCCTCCCTGCCTCCTGGGGGAGGGAGTTTCAGGGTTTAACTCCTGCATGAAGGAGGACTTTCCTTTATCTCCCTGAACCTTCCAACATTCCATTTCATTGGATGCTCACAAGTTCTAGTGTTGTAAGAGAGGGATAAAAACTTTTCTCTGTCTACTTTCTCCCTTCCATGCATAATTTTATAAACTTCTGTCATGTCACCTCTTACTTGCATTTTCTCTAAACTAAAAATTCCCAAATGCTGCAACCTATCCCCATGGGAGAATCCCTCCACACACACACACACACACGGTCATTTTGGTTGCCCTTTTCTGAATCTTTTCCAATCCTACACTATCCTTTTTGAGGTGAGGTGACCAGAACTGAACACAATATTCCAAATGTGCTCACAAAATATATTTGTATAATAGCATTATGGTATCAACAGTTTTATTTACAATTCCTTTCCTAATAATCCCTAGCATATAATTTGTGTTTTTCATAGCTGCCACACACTGGACGGACATCTTTGTTGAGCTATCCACAGCAAGCCCATGTTCCTGGTCCATCACCACCAGTTCATACCCCATGAGCATATATGTGAAATTAAGGTGGTTTTGTACCAACGTATATCACTTTACACATTTTTACAGTGAATTGCATTTCCTGTTTTACTGCCCATTCCTTTCAGAGCTCTGTTTTATTGACCCTGAACAATTTAGTGTCATCAGTGAACTTGACCACCTCACTGCTCACACCTAACGCTAGATGGTTTATGAACAAGTTAATACGCACAGATTCCAATATTGATACTTGGGGGACTCCATGTTCTTTGATTTGCAGAAGAGAAGGAAAAGGCTTAAGGCAGTGACAATGAAACTAAGCCCTCCAGCTGTTTTGGGACTACAGTTCCCATCATCCCTGACCACTGGTCCTGTTAGCTAGGGATGGTGGGAGTTGTTGTCCCAAAACAGCTGGAGGGCTGAGTTTGGCCATCACTGGCTTAAGTGGTCTATTGAGACCTCCAACCATTTTCAAGTGGTCCACAGGCAACAGAAGTTTGAGAACCACTGTAATAGATACCTGCCCTGTGAGGAGGGAGGAAGAATGGGGCAGAGGTGAGGGCCATCTCCTCAGCATGGCCCTTGGCTCATTTGCTCGAATTATTGCAGGCTCTTTGCACCCACTTTGCACCAACAGAATTGTGCCATTCCCAGCTCTGGAATGTGGCAGTGGTGCTGAGAGCAGACTTTGGAGGTTATCTGCTTCTCCTCCTGCAGCTTTGTAGAGCTAAAGCAGTACTCAGCATGTTAAGGATAAAGCCCTTTAGGAGCAAAAGGACATTTGACTATCAAGCTCCTAAGAGCCAGGTCCAATGATTTTATCCAACTTTTGGCACAATCAGCTCACTCCTTTTCATATCCAACACAGAGATGGACCCCGTGCAAAACCTGAGCCAATCTCACGACCACCGTTGGCCACAAAGCAGATAAAGTGGGTCCCAGAGAACATCACCCACGTTGGCACTGACCCCGTCCCCCATTGCTCTTATGCAGCCTGGGGCAACCGAAGCAGAACTGCATCTGAAAAACGCAAGTGAGGAGTTGTATCTGAACAGTCCCAAAGCCAATTTGGAAAGAGGGGGGAGCAGGGAAAGCGACGGAGGAACAACCAAGACTGTGCTAATTTCTTGCATATGGGGAATGCAGCAAGCTGGCTGTGAGATGCTCTGTTTGCATGGTTGTACAAACAAAGGAACGGTATTAATTAATTTTTCATTGCTGCAACAGGCTCGGGGAAAGCTTGGGTCCCCACCAGCAGCACCAGAGAGAAGAAAAAGGATTTTTGAATAGACCTGCAACACTTATCATTGTTCTACACAACCACTTTAAGTAGTGACTGAAAGTGTTTTCTGACTTACTTGGTAGATTAATTTGGGGAGGCACATTTTAATCAGGGAGGGCAGGTTTACATACATTGTTTTAACTCTAGTTTTTCTGTCCCCTGTTCCAGTAATACGTCAGACCTTTAAAAATGATATTCTTTTGATGAACAAGAGCTTTCGGAACATGCTTTTAGTAGTTAAGTTAAAACTGTATTTTTATAAGATCACCTGCCCATTGAGACAAAGAAATGTACAACTTTGTGTAGGAAAAGCAGGATGTAATAATAAAACAAATAATAAGAAACCCTCTTTTGAAAAATGTTTAAGTTAAATTTGAGGTGTAAGTAAATACCGTAAGGACTAAACTGGTGGATGCTACAGAAGAAAGGTAATTAAAAGCAAAGTTATCAAGGCAACAAAGTAACATTTGGAATCACACATAAAACGTGAGCTGTATCAACATTTGCCTCAGCTCAGATCTGTATTGAATTCTCAGCAAGACCTGAGATCAGTTCCCTGAGCCACAGCAAGCTTCAGACACACACACTTGCAACCGTGTTCTCAGGATAGGCCTTTGGGGAAGCAGCCTGGGAGCTCCACTCTGCAGAATGAACAGCTTGCCACACGTGGAAAAAGAGGACTGTGTCTAAGACTCTCCTGGTCTGCCCCACGGAGGACTTTAAGGTCCATAAATAGCAACACCCTAGAGGTCCCAGGCCCTAAGGAAGTCAGATTAGCCTCAACCAGAGGCAGGGCCTTCTCAACACTGGCTCCGGCCTGGTGGAGCGCTCTGTCTCATGAGACCAGGGCCCTGCGGGATCTGATTTCTTTCCTCAGGGCCTGCAAGATGGAGCTGTTCCGCCTGGCCTTTGGCTTGGAATCAGCCTGATCCCCTTCCCCTCTTTCCTTTCTCCTCTTGTGATGGAACTCCTATTTGGGGACTTCCCTGGCTTTTTTCTGGCCCACGTAGGACCAGTCTGGATAGCTGGCCTTAGTGAAGACTTGACGTTTTCATCCCCAAAAAAGTTTTTGATTTGAGTTTCCACTGAAATGAGGCTGCATTTTAATGTTGTATTTTAATCTTGTTTTTTAAGTTGTATTTCAATCAATTGTTTTATATCTGGTGTTAGCCGCCCTGAGCCTGGTCTTGGCTGGGGAGGGCGGGGTATAAATAAAATTTATTATTATTATTAAGCTCAAGTCCAAAATGACCTGACTGCACAGCACTTGTGTGAAGACACAAAGGCTGCCGTGCTTGTGCAGCCAAATAAAAACCATCCGAACAGCAACCCTGCAGTGCGTACTGTGCTCCCTACTGAACCCCAGTGGGGAGGCCTTCCTACTTCCAGGTTTAAATTGCAGTCTGCATTCAGGCTTCAAATCCCAGTGGAATGTGCTTAATTTAAACCACTCATATTTAAGTCAAGTGCTGAGAGCCTCATTGCATGTTGTGAGTGTCAGGCCTTACAAAAGGGATGGGGAATCTGTGGCCCATCGTATGTTGTTGGACTTCCAACGACCTCAGTCAACATGTGGCTGATTGCTAGGAGTGATGGCATTTGGAGTCCAGCAACATCTGGAAGGCCACATAGCCGCCGCCCCCCCTTAAGCATGGTCCGAAACGCATTTCATTCCCTACTGAGAAACTGACAGCAGCCCACACCACGGAAAGGATTTCTCAAGCTGAGGTGCAGGGATTTTTATGCCAGCCTACTTAACAGGGCTGTGGTGCATGAATAGTCAAATCCATATAATTAAGGCATATTTTTAATCAGACGGCAACTGATGCCTCCGCCCTCATAACGCATGCCTTCAATATGAGTTTGTATTCCACTCTGCATACATGGGTGCATCTAATCTGGTCCAAACACTCCTGCCGTCACATCTATTTGTGGCTGTTTTCTAAAACATGGTGCTTTGTTCCATGCGCGCACAGAGACTCACATTTCCCACATCTGCATTTTAAAAAGTATGTACCTAACATTGTATAGGTACATGTATCTTCCAATTCAATATTCTCCTCCTTTGCTTTCTGTGTCTCGCTAGCACAATTCATCTGTGCCCAGAATAGTCCTAAAATTAACATTTTCTCCTCTGATTACAGGCTTTCTCAGAAAGAGAGAGAGAGAGAGAGAGAGAGAGAGAGAGAGCGCACGCCTTTCACCTCTTTGCCAGGCTCAGTTTGTGTCTAAAGCCACAACAACCCAAGGATCTGCCTGATAGAAGGAAGGACACTGTGTTTTTTGTTTTAAAGGACAAAGTAAAAAAGCAACAGTGGCAACCTTTTACGAACATATTAAAAGCCTTCTCAATCAGGCCTATAGTCCAGTTAGTCCAACTTCCCGTTCTCACAAGGACGCATCAGATGCCTGTGGGAAACCAACAGAATTCAAGCACAAGAACAGCACTCTGCCCTCCCACTGGTATTCAGAAGCATCACTGCCTCTGACCATGGAGGCAGAGGAGAGCCATCATGCCTAGTAGCGACAAGTAGCCTTCTCCTCCATGAATTTGTCTAATCCTCCTGTGGGAGTGAGTTCCATAGATTAACTACGCACTTTACAGGTGGAAGTTCCGCAACACTGATGGGACTTGAACTTGCTTATTTTCAAGCTAACAAGTAGCTTACCAGCACAAACTTTTAAATGTCTACCCAGAAGCAAGTCCTCAGGAGTTCAGTGGGGCTTATTCTCATGTAAACTTGCACCTTAATTGTGGCCCTGGTAGGTGCAAGTATGCTCTCTGCCTGCTTGTATTATCTCCATCATCAGTTGTTGTTGTTGTTGTTGTTGTTAATTGAATTTATATACAGTGGTACCTCAGGTTACAAACACTTCGGGTTACAAACACTTCGGGTTACAAACTCCGCTAACCTGGAAGTAGTACCTCGGGTTAAGAACTTTGCTCCAGGATGAGAACGGAAATTGTGTGCCGGCGGCACAGCAGTAGCAGGAGGCCCCATCAGCAAAAGCACACCTCAGGTTAAGAACTGTTTCGGGTTAAGAACGGACCTCCTGAACGAATTAAGTTCGTAACCCAAGGCACCACCGTACCGCCCTATACCCGAAGGTCTCAGGGCAGTTCAACTTGGGTTCTGCTTTTCAAAAACAAAGATCCTTCCTAAGCAGCTTATTCTCATAAGATTTCAAACCCCCAAAATATGGTAAAAGAACCACCACAAAATCTCATGAACAAAATCACATAAAATTAGAAATGTTAAACACCTAAAACAAACAGAACAGCATCATTATCTATTTGTCTTTTAAATGTAACCACCAGCCTAACATCTTTAAATCTCAATTGCAGCTCCATTTTGCCCTCCGCAAATGGATGCAGCCTCCTGCATATGTCAGACCCCCTAAGATAAGGGATCTTCGAGCAAACAAAAACCACTTATAATAATGTCTTGGCCCTCTGCACATGCAAAGCACCGTAGAGAACAATAGTACCATTCTATATGTGTCTACACAGAAGTAAGTTCTGTTATTGTCAGTGGGGCTCAGCTTGTAGACTGGGAGGGGTACAAATAAATTATTATTATTATTATTATTATTATTATTATTATTATTATTATTGACTACCCACCTGCAATAGGTGGCAGCCATGCTGAACCCTCTGGGACACCAAAAAGCCTTGAGGAAAGTCAAGGTAAAAACATTTGTGGGGTTGCATGCTTTCGAGTGTTAGACTACCCATACTGGAAATAGAATTGAAATAAACTCAGAGGTCGCTTAGCCCAACCCACTTCTCAGAGCAGGAACTGCAATGGAAGGTGCAACCTTGCACCATCTCTGGTGCCACCCAGCTTCTGTTCGGATACCTCCAATGACAGACAGCCCACTCTGCTCCCAAGGCAGGTGGTCCCACTACAACATCTCCTTCAATCTCTCAAGGCTTCCTCATCCTCTGCTTGACTGACTGTTCTTCAGCTCTCCCCTCTCCCCCCCTTGCAGCTCTTTCAAGGAAGGGCCTTCGCTCAGTGGCAGAGCCCCTGCCTCGCATGCAGAAGGTCCCAATCCCCAATGGCATCTCCCCATGGGAATGAGGGAGAACCCTACCTGAAACCCTGGGGAGCAGCTGCCAGTCAGTGCAGGCAAAGCTGAGCAAGATAGACCAAGAGTGAAATATAAATAAATTAATAATAATAATAATAATAATAATATATTATTTGTACCCCGCCCATCTGGCTGAGTTTCCCCAGCCACTCTGGGCGGTTTCCAATCAAGTGTTAAAAACAATACAGCATTAAATATTAAAAACTTCCCTAAACAGGGCTGCCTTCAGATGTCTTTTAAAGAGAAGAGAGCTGCTTATTTCCTTCACAGGGCGGGCACCACTACCGAGAAGGCCCTCTGTCTGGTTCCCTGTAACCTCACTTCTCGCAATGAGGGAACCGCCAGAAGGCCCTCGGCGCTGGACCTCAGTGTCCGGGCTGGATGATGGGGATGGAGACGCTTTTTCAGATATACTGGACCGAGGCCGTTTAGGGCTTTAAAGGTCAGCACCAACACTTTGAATTGTGCTCGGAAACATACTGGGAGCCAATGCAGATCTCTCAGGACTGGTGTTATGTGGTTAAGGCAGTTTGATGTGACTTGCTTTCCTCACCATCCCAGTCATCCACCTAGGCGATGCTCAGTGCTCTTTCTACTTCAAATGTGGCATCTGGTAACACTGGTGGGATACCTTTTGCGTTATTGCATCCTCTTGCCATCAGACATGAATTATTTGCCTCACTTCTGCATTTTAAAATGATCTAGCAGGGAGGAGATGCAAGCCATGCCCCAACCCTCAGAAGGGGAATTTGCAATGAACGTTGGCTCCATTTGGGAGCCTGGCTGAGCAGGAAAGTGACAGATTAAAACTGCTTTGAAATAACTTCGCCAGTTGACAGTGGAATGCAACATTTTAAATGTCTGGGAAGCATAGAGAAAATACTAGATTAGGTTAGATGGGGGAGGTGTATTGCTGGAAAGTAACCATCTCTTGGATTTGCTCTGATGCCAATAGTCAAGGAACAGAAAACATCTACCCCGAAGTAGGCTCATCTTCAAGTTGCCACAAGGTTGCTTTTCACCTTTTTAAAAAATGTAGTTTATGCAGAGTGTATGTGTGGGTGTTCAAGATAATATATCAAGATAATAATATATTGTAATGTATAAATGTAAAAACAAAGTGTGCAGCACATTCCATGCAGCATCTTAACTCAGAAATGTGCATATTCAAACGGGGAAAATAACAAGTATTAATACTTGCTCAGATTAATTATAAGTAGGTATATATATATATATATATATATATATATATATATATATATATGGCCATTAGGTCTTAGTAAGTATGTGTGTAAATAAATGAATGGTCATTTTAATTCAGTGTTTCAATTTTTAACTTATTTGATAACACAGCAAGAAGTTCAAATTATAATTATGAACATATTATTCTGGATATCACCAGTAGATGTGGATCTCTCGGTTTATTGCGGGCAAAGTGAGGAACGGCAGCAGGAGGAAATAACAGTTCCTTTGGCTGCTAAAAGTAAAAATAAATAATGGATTAAATAACTGGAAAATAAGTGCTGTGGGCTTAACTGACTTTTGTTCTGTCTTTGAAGTTTCAATCAAAGTTCCAAAAAATAGCCCCCTCTCCTGCGAATCTGATCGCGACCCTCCCTTTGCAATCTCCATTCAGAGACACCCGGCAAGAGCCTCAATCAGAGGTTGCTTCAGAAGGATGTCTTTTTCGGGGGGCGGGGCGGGTGTTTAGCGTCCAATTAATACCCCCCCCCCCAAAAAAACTTGCCAAGACCTCGATTTTGATTTACACCTTTTCTTTCGGGATGGTGAGAAGGGGACACATTTAGTCAAGATGTGGCGTGGATTTTGGTGTCTCGGAAAATGTCAGATGATGAAGGCGAAGCCCAAGACCGGAGCAGAGTTGGTGGAGCATCACCTGAATTTTTCAAACCTGCTCGACGCCCTCTGATGCGCAGTGTTTTACAGAACAAAGGCAGGGTTTTCAACTTTTATCAAATCTCTCCGCTTCCTCTATTACAATTTATGTATTTGTTCTCTTCAAGAGCAAATCTCTTTCCGCATACCGCTTGAATTTAAGAATGTTCCGTTTTCCGCAGCGCGATTCTCGGTGCGGTTGCTCGGGAGCAAGAGCCGCTGCGCTCCATGGAGCATTTTCCCCGCTCTCCACCCCGAGAATTTGCAGCCTTACAGGCAAATCCCGCGCAGGTTTTTACTTATAGGCGACTCCCCCGTGCCCCAGTGAGATTTTCTCCCAGGTAGAGGGAGTGAACCTTGCAAGATCTCAGCCTTAAGATCTTCTCTGTCTCTCATAAAATCCCTGGCCGGGACAGCGGCGCAAGTATCTAGATATAAGGAAAGAGCCAGATTGGAGCCGAGAGCCGATCTCCGCCCCGAAGAGGCTGCTTGCCCCGCAGCTCTCAGAACCAAGATCCAGCCGCGACCCTCATTTGCAAGTTCCTTTGCTGGGAGGGAGAGGGGATTCATGGTAGGCTACCCCCCACTGCGGGTGGGCAGACACTGTCCCAGCCAGGCGAGGTCAGCGGGCAAGCGGGGCGGCGGGAGATGTCTTGCAATGGGACGCATTTATTCAGGTTCCTTAAATCACTTCAAACATTTTAGCACCATCTTCCCGCCGCCGCCGCCGCCTTGGCTTGGGGAGATCTCCTAAACCCTAAACCATCACACGCTCCCCATTATTTTTCACCCTAGCTAGTATGAGTTTTAAAAACCGAAAGCACTTGCGCTGCGTAACTAGCAAACCGGACTCGCTTCGAATCCATTTCGGCTCGAAATCTTGCCACGACAGTGCTTGTTTGCAAACACAAAACCGTAACGATTCCTAGCTTCCTCTTTATTGTTTTTCCTTCCTTTTTCCTTCTGGTTCTCCTTGCCCCGTTTTCGGGCATCTTTGGTTTGCGGGGTTCTTTTTCGTTTTTTCAGTCCGGGGCAATGCTATAACGCGGGCGGTTGTCCAGTGGCGTAGATTCCAGACACGCGACAGCGGAGGGCGGTGGGGGGTGGCAAATGCCAAAGACTGAGAAGGACGTTGGGATGAAGACCCCGATCCACCCACTCGTGAGGAAGTAAGCCCCAGGAAACTCGACTAGGCTTTATTTTAGGAAACGCAGCTTGGAAGGATAACTTCGAAAACCCGAGAATTTGTCTAGATGTTGGTGTTGTATTATTAATAGTAACAGATAAGTTGCCATCGGTCCTAGTCACCCTCAGAGTAGACCCACTGATATGAATGGACTCAGCGGTTGCATTTTGAATAGAAATTCGTTGAATAAAAAATAATGGTAACAGGAAAAACAACTGCATATAAGTTCTTCTACTCCGCTCGAACAACTGAGACCCGTTAGCCACGTCCATTCATTTCAGTGGATATAACTACTTTGGGAACAACAATAAAACAAAACAACTATTACTACTACTACTGTTTTCGGTTAGGTGGCATGGTAAGGAAAGGTTTAAAAATCAGGCAGCTCCGCAGCGCTGTGATTTCAGCAACGCGCTCTGCAACAGAGCTCGCCTGCTTCGTTTTTCCCCTTCTGGAAAAGGTGACCCCCAACGCGCGCCGTCCAGGGCGCCTTGGTCCCTCGAGGAAGCCTGGCGCTGCGCGGCCGCCTCAAGGCGCATTAGGGGGGCAGCGCCTGGCGAGAGGGCGACCTCTCCCCCTTTTCCGAAGCATCTGCCCCCAGAAAGGGTTTGCCCACCTCGGACCTCCTTGACGGCAGGCCGGGAGGGCGCTGAGGAGAGAACGGGGTCCCAAGCCAAGGAATGGACAAAGAAGGACTTTCTTTTAGGAGGGCCCGATTCCATGGGAAGAGTCTTCCCCTCGGGAGCTAGGGCAAGCGCCCACCCCCAGTCCCCACCTTCCGCCCGCAATCCCAGGTTCCTTTTTTGATCCAGCGCCTTTAAACCCCGGAGTTCGGATTTGCTTGGGTGGGTCCGCTTCCAGCTCCTGGAGTAAGTCACAAAATTCGCCGACCATTATTTGGAAAAAGCAAAGCAAAGCAAACTACAATAGTTTGCAGCACTCCCTGGCTACCTTGAAGCGGCGCGCAAAATTGGGTCGGCTAGAAGACTTTATTCCGTTTTATTTGAAAGGCATTTGAAAGATATCAGATGGGCCATTGGCCTGATCCAGCGGGCACTACTTCTGTTCTTCTTATGCTTATTTGAAATATATCCCGCTTTATAGCCCGAATAGGTATTATATTATTATATTATTATTATTATTATTATTATTATTATTAATCTCAGCAAGTGCCATCGAAGGGTTCGGGATTCAGAGCATTCTGGGCCACTCAGACGACGTCTCCCTTCCTCTATTTAGCACGGCGGGTCCCGGGCGACGAAGCAAAGGCGCCGGCCGTTTTTTCTTTACTCCAGAAGGGCGCCCGTTTCCCTGCCGAACATCGCCCAGCCCTCCTGATCTCATTTATCCTCTCAAAAACCGTAGTATTATAAAGCAAACCCATTGTGCGGAAGGGTAGGTCAGTTTGAGAAAGCGGGCGGGCTGGGGGGCAAAGGCCGTTCCAAACGCGCCGCGCAACCCGTCAAATCCAAACTAAGTAAAAGCGCGCGTAGGTTGTTTTTTTAATAAAAAAAACAAAAAACCACACATACACAAACAAAACAAAACCTCACAAAAACTATTTGAGCGGGTCCTTCTCTCAACTACAGAAAACGGTCGAGGCGGGGGGGGGGGGAGGAGGAAACGAGGCGTTGTTGTCCTTTGGCCTTGGCTGGCTTCACCGCTGCAGGAGATTTCCTGCTCCGCCCCTCGCCCCAGAGGCCTGTCCAGTCTAGCACTGGACTGAGAGGCACCGGATCAACTTCGCTGGAAGTCTCTTCCGCAGTCCTTAGAAAGGGGGCTTCGTCCACCGAGCAAGGGGTGGCCCTGACCCAGAGACCCGGCGCCCACCCCACCCCCGCCCCTTGATTCTTCACAGCATCCTCAGTAAATTTCTGCGAAAGGGAGAGAAACCCCGTCAACGAATCTGGACGCACCCCACCCCCAGTGCTCGCCTCTCGGGGGTCAGCCTGTTCACAGAACAGCCCTGGGAAGCGCTCGGGTGCCCTATGTATAATTCGAATCCCCCCCCCACTTGCCCAGAATAACCTACCCTTATTCAACCTCTTGGAGGGGTGTCTCTCCGCTTTTATCTATTTTTAGAAAGTTCCCCCCCATAAAACCCTTCAAGAAAGACGGATTCGGATTTAGCTGCCCCCCCCCCTTTCCTACAGGAAAGTGCAGCTGCCCGCTTCGCTCACTCCAAACTCCAAATCTCTGGCCCGGGCGGACAACGAGACACCTGGAGACAATCCGAGATAAGGCCAAAAAGTGGACGTTTCTGCCTCCGCTGTCAAAGCGCACCCGCTTCCGACCTCCAGAGTTGCCCCCCTCAGAAAAAGGATGTTGGAGGCGGGCAGCTCCAAACCAAAACCAGCGCCCGCCTCCGCTCCGGAGTTCCGCCTAGCCAGGAATCCGAGCGGGACTTCGTTTTCATTACCAAATCCTAATCTTAGAGGAAGGAACTGGTTTGAGATTGGGACGCCTGTTTTAAAGTTTAAATTTTTTAATTCCGGATTAATTAATCAGGATTAAGAACCAGTATAAATTAAAATCAAGCAAATTCGGAATCCTGCCTAACTGGGTGCGCGCGCCTAAATATATATATATAGGGGTCAGCCTCCCCACACTTTTTTGGCCAAGATTTGGTGAGCAAAGACCCGAAGACTGAACAATTTGCACCCGAGTTAATGCTTTGTTCACACGTTCAGTTCGAGTCCTTCTTTAGGTACCAGTGACTGCATCATTAGCCGCATCCCGCAAATCGAGTATGAACGCTACGGGGCAAAACACCACAAGAAACCCAAGACTCCCATTCTCTTCCAGTCTCCAAAGCTGAGATAATTTCTATCTGAAAGCTCCAGGCCCACCTCGAGTTCCTCCCAAGTAAACTTCGCTGCGCTGCATATGAAACCATCACTTTAAAAGTGATCCAGAGCAAACCCGCCCGGGCGTACAGGAGACCTTTCCAGAACATGCTGATCCAGCAACCAGGAAATTCCAAAGCAAGCGGAATCGCTCCGGATTCGCCCTCCCTCTGTCCCACAGTTCCGTCCATACCCCGCGGCCTCCTGGAACCTACCTGAAATAGTCCCTTTTGCAATAGATTTCTTTGTTCTTGACGTAGCAGGTGTGCTGCCGGCGAAGCGAGGTCCGGCACACTGAGCATTCCAGGCAACGCATGTGCCAAGTGAGGTCGTTCACCTGCGAGGAGTGGGGGGGGGGGAGAGAGGCAAAGGGACCTGAGATGAGGGCTGACGGGTCTGGCGGTGAAAACCCCTGTCCGTCCACTGCCTCTACCCCGCAACACACCTGCACACCAACCATTCCCCCCTACGCGGCTGCCCTTTACCTGGAGCAGGTACCGGTCCACAATCTCCATGCCGCAACTGAAGCAGACGTTCTTGGCCCCCGACGGCAAAGAGGAGGAGGCGGAGGACGGTGGGGAGCAGACGGAGGGTGTGGAGGGCGTGCTGGCGCCCGAGCGCGCCTCTTCTTTATCCAGGGCGCTCGGGAGCGCTTCCCCGTCCGGCTGGGCCTGCGGAGAGCGAGAGAAAACCAAGAGGCGTTAGACGGGCGGCACAGCTCCGCGGGAGCCCGACAGCACCCAGCAGCCCAGGGCTCCCCTGAGAGGCGGAGGACCAGCCTTCTCCCTTCTCCTTCCTTCCTTCCTTCTCTTCCCTTCCTTCCCCCATTTCTCAGTCAGCTGCGCTTCGTCCTCCCCGTCGGAAGCAGGCTTACCATTCGTCAAGGCGCGCGGTGGAGACGTTCCTCGCTGCTGATGCTGCTGCTTCTGAAACTGGCGGAAAGGCTCTAGCTGCGGGGCTCCATGCCCCCCCCCCCTCTATATAAGCCCGCTCCAGACAATAAACCTCAACTTTGTAGTGGCCATAGAAACGGCGTCGATCAAAAAAGAGGGAGAGGGAGAGAGGGAGAGAGAGAGAGAGAGAGAGAGAGGGAGAGAGAAGGAAAAGAAGAAAGGTAGAGGCGGTAGGGCTTGTTAATGGAGCAATTTGCGAGGGGGGGGGAGAGGAAAGGAAAGAAGGGGGGTGGCTTTGAAAAGCGGCTCTCGAGGTAATCGCTGCGCTCCAGGCTCGCTTTGCCTCGCCAAAGCTGCTGCTGCAGCCACGTCCGCGTCGTCGTCCTCCCTACGCCGCCCCGAAGCGCCTGCAATTAGCGCCGATGCCCAGCCAGAAAGGCAGCGTTTTTCAATCAGCCTCGCCGTCGGGTGGGCTGCGCAATAGCAGCGCCTGCCTGCCCCTTTCCTGCTCTTCTCTCCCCCCCCCCCCCACCGCAGTCGCACTTTCTCCTCCCTCTCCCCCCGAGCACCAAAGAACTGAGACCCCCACCCGCGCTCAGCAGAAAGAGGGAGGAGGCGACCTCGACCTCCCCACCACAAACAAACCCGTGAGAAGACTCTCCTTCCTCTCCCGCTACCCGAAATTTACCACCAACATTTTCCAACCAACACTCTCGTCCACAATACGCCGCCGCCGCCGCCGCCAAGGAAGCTTCCAGAGAGCATTTTATACTATTTTATTTACTCCTAAGGAGGCCCCTTTTGCTCTCGAGGAGACCATCCTCCCCAAGGCACTAAAAGCAGAAGGAATATCTCGAAACATGCCCCCCAGGAAAAGAGATGCAGGAGATGGGAAGATAGAGTCACCTGGGAGATCAGCGAGGGGATCTCACAATCTCTCTCCCCACCCCCGCAAAAGGCAAAGAAGGGATTAGGGTGGCACATTCATTCTGGGGGGGGGGTTGAGGTCACATCTGTCCTCCTCTATAGAAGTTGAGGAGTTTTCCCTCCTCTGTCAAAGACGTGGAAGGCGGGGCGGGGGGGGGGGTTTCAGTGAGGCCTCTTTTATCATTGTATGCTCCTTTTTGTGGGGGGGGGGGCGGACAATCTCTTAGTCCTCCCCATCCCAAGCGAGCCTATGTGTCATCCAGCTCAGGTGTGTGGGGGGGGGGGACGACTGGCTCCTTCTTGCTTGAGGGATTGGGGACCAGGTTCTCAAAACTACGACCCCACCTCCAAATCAGGGTGACACGTTTTTTCTCCCCCACTTCAGGACATTCATTTGCCCCCCCCCGCAACTCTCCTCTCTAGAGTTTGCACGGGGCACAGGAGGCCCTCTGTTCCCCTCCCTCCACACGCACAGAAGGGCTCTTCTCCGCTTTTTCTGCCCCTCCCCACAATGCCATGCCTCACCTCGGTCCGCGACTGCTGGCCCTCGAACTGGGGGGTGGAGGTCTCATTCTTCCAGAACATGGACGGGGGCGGGTAGTTGGGGAGCACACGAGGAGGGGAGCTCCCCTCCGCAGCGGCCGCCCAGACGTGACTCACCCGAGGCGGCTGCTGGAAACAACTTTAAATGTTCCTTCTTTAAAAAAACAAAACAAAAAACTAGGGCGCTCCCCCCTCCTGTTCCTCCTTCCTTTCTTTCCTGAAGCTAGACGGGGTGGCGAGAGCAGCAGAGAAGGAGAGAGAGAAGGACCGGGATGGTGGATATTCCCGCAGGGCTCGGATCTTGCACGTCGTTGAATGAAGAGGCGCGCACGGAAGACAGTGCCTCTGAGAATGTGCAGCGTTCTTCCGTCTCTCACCATGAAGGGAGCTCGCATGGAGGAGGGCAGTGAGAGAGAGGCTGAGCCCCCTCTGTCCCCTTCTAATAATTTAGGATCACACACAAATATAAGTGAAAGTACTAGGATGAGCTACTCAGAATGCGTGGACCAGAAGTTGTGGCTTGGGAATGCGGAGAGGGTTAGGGGGCTAGTGGGTGGCAAAGGATTTGGAGCTATGCTTTTATTTACTATTTGATTCATTATTTTAAGTGCCAACTTGAATAAACTATTGGGGGACCCGGCGGTGGCAAGTAAGCTAATGCTATTCTTGGATGCACCAACAGAAGTAATAGCACCACTCTATTCTGCCTCTGTCAGACCACATCTGGAATACTGTGTGTCTAATTCTGGGCACCACCATTTAGGAAGGATGTTGACAAGCTGGAAGGTGTGCAGAGGGCAACTAGGACGATCAAGAGCAGGGGTCAGCAAACTTTTTCAGCAGGGGGCCAGTCCACTGTCCCTCAGAGCTTGTGGGGGGGCCGGACTACATTTTTGGGGGGGGAAATATGAACGAATTCCTATGCCCCACAAATAACCCAGAGGTGAATTTTAAATAAAAGGACACATTCTACTCATGTAAAAACACGCTGATTCCTGGACCGTCTGTGGGCCGGATTTAGAAGGCGATTGGGTCGGATCCGGCCCCTGGGCCTTAGTTTGCCTACCCATGATCAAGAGTCTAGAAGCCAAGCCTTATGAGGAACAGTTGAAGGAACTGTGTATGTTTTGCCTGGAAAAGAGGAGACTGAGAAGACAATTGACAGCCATCTTCAAATATCTCAAGGGCTGTCACATGGAAGAGGGAGCGTGCTTGTTTTCTCCTGCTCTGGAAGGTAGGACCCAAATCAGTGACTTCAAATTACAAGAAAGGAGATTCAAATTAAACATCAGGAAAAACTTTTCCATGGTAAGAGGTGTTGGACAGTGGAACAGTCTCCCTTGGGAGGTGGTGGACTCTCCTTCCTTGGAGGTTTTCAAGCAGAGGTTGGATGGCCATCGAAGGTTGGACTAGATGACCTTTGGTATCCCTACCAACCCTATGATTCTATAAGCCCTGCCCCACATAACTGATCTAAAGATCCAGCGCGCACACACCATCTGAATGACGATGCCCATCAACTTGAGGAGGCCTGACGCCCTCAAGTATTTTGTGGTGTGTGTGTGTGAAGTGACCTCGGTCCAACTCTCACTCTCACCCAACGAAGCTGAATGTTAGATGATTCAGGAGAGATAAAATTGAGTCCCTCTTTGTGCAGCACAGAGTTAACCTAAGGAACTCCTTCCCACAGGACGCAGTGATGGCCACCAACTGAGACCATGGCTTCAAAAGAGGGAAAGAAAAGAAGAACAGAGCAGAAGGCTATGAATGGCTACCAGCCACGATGGCTCTGCTCTGCTTCTGGGGTCAGGGGCAGCGAATGCTTCCGAACGCCAGTTCCTGGAAACCACGGCAGGGGAGAGGGCTTCTCATGCTCAAATTCTGCTCGTGGGTTTCCCACAGACATCTGGTTGGCCACTGTGAGAACAGGATGCTGGCCTAGATGGGCCATTGGCCTGACCAACAGACTCTTCTTATGTTCTTATGTCATCTTCGGTTAACTATCATGCCCCATCATGCAAATAACATGCTAATGTTTACTATGCGGGAATCAAATGTGTTTGGGGTTGTTTGTGCGTGTGTTACATTATGCTTTTAACCACCAAGGCATATTACATGTCCTCATGTAGATACTTAATGCACATGCACAGCAGGTGTGTAAGAGAGAGCACTCTCAACGGGATCGTTGCCCCAAGTGATATGAGAGATGGACCAAATATGGTTGGACTTGTCATGGCCAGACCATGGTCTTGTTGAGTTTGGAGTGACAATGGCACTTCCTCCCTGCAAAGGGGGTGAGCCCTCAGAGAATGAGGCAACCTGATGTGTTCCTGAACTCTCTGGGGGATCTTTCAGTGGAGAAAGCAGGTGGTCCTGTCAAAGACCCCATCTTGCTATGGGACGGCAAGATGAAATGGGCCGCTGACACCATTCCTTCCAAGTGAAAGTTGGGAACCCAAAAGGCAATGAGCGCCATCAGTTTTTTTGCAGAAGCTAGGCCCTGAGTGCTGTGAGTATTTGCAGGAGCTGGGCCCTGAGTGGTGTGAGTCTTCGCAGGGACCGGGCCCTGGCCATGCTTGCTTTGGAGGAAAGAAGTACAGGCTGGCAGGGGTCAAATGAGGTGATGTGCTGGAAAGGCTGTGGAAGAAAGGGATCAAGTTCACTCAATGTACTCTGTTAAAGGAAAATATAATGATGTATAGATGGTATTTGTCTCCAGTAAAACTAGCAAAGATTTACCTTAACAATGATAATTGATGCTGGAAATGTACAGAAAAAGAGGGTACCTTTTATCATATGTGGTGAACCTGTCCCAAGGTGTAAGACTTCTGGGAGAAGATTTATAATGAATTGAAAAAAATGTTGAAATATACATTTATCAAAAAACCAGAGGCCTTTCTTCTTGGAATAATAGGTTTGGAATTGCCCAGGAAAGATGTTAAACTATTTTTGTATGCCACAACTGCTGCTCCAATTTTATTAGTTAAGAATTAGAAAACACAAGAAGTACCAACCGTGGAAGATTGGCAGATGAAGATGATGGATTTTTTGGAGGTAGCTGACCTGACCGGAAGAGTCCGTGACCAGAAGGAGGAAGACTATCAGGAAGAATGGATGAAATTTAAAGATTATTTAGTTAAATATGTTAAGTTAAATTAATTGGAGATGCTAAACTAGAAAGTAAAAAAAAATATGTTAAGTGAATAAGTTAATTTTATAAGAATACTGGTTTTGAAAACCGTTAAAATGATATACACTGAAATTCAACCAGGGGGATACGAGGAAGTCACTTAACAATGTTACTAAGTTTGGTTTAAATACGGTTGAGATTTATGTTTGTTTGTATATTTGTTTGTTTGTTTATTTTTTTGGAAAAACAATAAAAAAAATTTTGGGGGGGGAAAGAAGCCACAAATGAGGTGATGTGCTGCACCTGGAGGCAAACTCAGGAGGACTAAGGTCTCCACTTCACCCTGGGTTGTCGCCACAGCAATGTGATTTCATGCCATGCTGTAACCAGTTCCTGTTCCAGTTTGATGCAGTTATCCTGCATCCTGGCTTCCTCTGGTCCCTG